AATTAACTGTTTAATATTTTTGCAAATAAGTGTTGTGAAAAATCATGTTTTCATAAAATGATATACACAAAAACCGGAGACGTTAAAATAGAACATATCAATTTTGTAACCACGAGCTATAAAAATTAAAAACTACACTCAGAACCTTTTTTACCTTTTTAAGGTTGGATTTACCTTCAAAATAAAGTTAAAAGGGTCTCAATAGCTCCTGTGAGTTAATGTAACTCTCAGATGAAGGTAAAATGTTTCTAACCCTCCCAATAGAGTACATCCAACACTTGTGTGAAGGTAATTTTCCCACCGTACACAGAGCAGCGCAACCAGACTAAACAGTAGTTTTAACTCACCGTGAAGGTAAATTTTAAAATACTTGAGAGTAGTTTTTATTTCTCGTGAAGGTAAATTTTAACGCACTCAGTGGTTGTTGGTACTCCTTGAGATGTTGAATGCTACTTTGCTTATGTGTTACTTTTAACTTTCATATTCAGTCACATTTATTTTTCTTATTGGGTTGTTTGAACTACAAATAATATTCCAGGTTTACCGAAAAATTTAAGTTTATTTTAAGAAAACCATCTAGTACAATTGCAGGCATAAATATTAGATTTTTAACAAATTACAATAATAAAAAGTTGCATTAATTAAACTTACAATTCAACGCTGTTGCTTGTATAGCTTGTTCCAATTTGATGATGGAATTTGGTGACCTTCTTTCTTCATGAACACTTCACTAAATCTACAAAAACTGACCACTGAGAGTACCAGAGAGCACTTTTTAAATTATGACTGCTGGTTTATTTTTGCAAGTCCACTTCCTTGCGCAGAGAGAGCCAAAACTGAATAGAAGGAGCACTTCTTGTTCGTTGTAGATCATCAAATCCTAAGAAATTAAGCCCCTGAAACAAAAACATGAAAGTTCAAAATATTAGTTTCATTTATAGAAATTAATATACCATAAAATAAAAATAAGAAATAAAAAAAATGATTATTTTACCTGAACAGTTTTAGTTTTTCCTTTTGTGTGTCTTGTTTGCATCATTGCCGATGTCAACTGCGCAATCTGCAACAAAATAATAATAAAATTCAATTTTAATTACTGGAATTTTTTAAAACGCTAACAGGTGTACAATACCTGCAGAAAATTCCATCGAAGGTTGGTGAAATTCGAATAAAGATTCAATCTGTATTGCAGTATGGTTCTCCTAAAACAATACACAAGGGGAAAATAAGTCATGATCGGCTAGTGTTTTTTCAAAAATTTCTTACCAGGGAACTTCTTGGCTGTGTTGGTTTGGTAGTGTCTTCCTCAGAGCCGAATTTCTGAGTCAAATTTGATTAAAATAAAACAATTTTAAGGATGACGCCGAAATGTGCTTCTTCATACAGGGCGCAGAGCTCAAATGAGGAGGCAGAGGATGCTGACGTAGGGCGTCTGTGCCGCGATTTACTTTTGGTGAAGGTAAAATTTACCGTCACTCTGGGTTGACGTTACTCTGCGGCGTTGGGTTATAAGCCAACGGACGCTACATTTTGGCGGACTTTCTCAGATTTTTAACTTTCCATGAAGGTAGACGTGATTATTTGAAAATTGTTGCGCGGGAGCAGAGCTTCAGTTTTGAGAAAATGCTAATTATTATGGAAATTTGGTGATTCAGCTGGCTTGTAGAATTTTAAATAGGTCAATAAAAAATTAATTTATTATTTAATGTAAAACTCAGGACATAAATCGCTATGATAACATTTTAAAAGCATTTTGAAGATATAGGAGCAGCGAATATTTTTGAGCAAAAATTTTATTTGCAGCTTATGTGAATCGCTGTAGATATATGTATATTGTGTTCTTTGGAATTTGTTCAAATTCGTCATTTCACATTTCCTTTCAATTTGAAGTGGCAAATTAATTACTATCTACATTAAAATTTTTTCAAATGTTAAATTACTCAATTTAAGTAAAATTAACTAATTTTATACTGTACAATTTTCCGTTGCAATATTAGCCTTTCAGTTTTTTTGTAAAGCTTTTTTTTAATTACAGCTTAAAAATATTTTTGCTTATGATTTTTGTGCAAGGAAATCTTGGATTTTTTAAATAATTTTTCTAAAAGACCCAAACGCAATGATTGCATGAAAATTCTAAGTTTTCTAACCTTTATGTAAAGGTAAAAGACACATATTTGCTAAGGTAGATAGACAGATCAACTTGTATGAGATGTTAATTTTTACCTTCACTCAAAAGTTGGGCAAAATCATTTTACCTTCACGCAAACGTTAGGAAGCATCAAACAGCATCCAACCTACCGCGACGGTAAAAACAATCTATGCGCTCAAGTAAGAAGAGACGCTGCAACATTTAGTGGAGGTAGAATGAACCCTCAAAATATTTAACTCTTGGGCTCGTCAAAATTTACCTTCAAGGAGAGTAGAATCAACCCCTTCGACAGTTCATTTAACACAATTTAATAGTTAGAAAAGCGTTAACTTTTATCGAAGGTAAATGGGGTTCTGAGTGTAACTTCTGCAATTTTGTGCATTACTAATTGGTTCTTTTGATGAAAATGAGGTTTTTAGATCTTGATTAATTAGCCGGCAGTGAGCATGAAAAAGCGTGTTTCACAAGTCGATCTCACTCACTTTATTACAAAACCGCGAAAGTGTAAAGAATCACTCTCTGTTAACGATCTGCGCCTTTGTTCGGCCACCGTGCAATGCCATATTAATTTTTCTGGTCGGCGGCACGAATTAGCATAATAAACTCTTCCTCCCCACATATATAATGTTTCAATTAGCCAAACGCGATTAACTCAATTTGATAAAATTACCGATCGGAAAATTGCTCGGCGACACACGCTGAGAGAGCGGCCGAGGTAGCGACAGGTTGAAACGCGATATTGCATTCGGAGCGTGCCAATGGATAAATTTACAAATAAATTTACCAACTCGGATGCACTTCTTCTCATTTCATGCTCGACCGGCGTGAGTTGGTTCTTTCTCTCTCATTAATATTTACAATCAGCAGGTGTAATTAATCTCCCAGCAGAGGCGAGTATAGATTAATGACATTACCAACGCACCGCAGCGGATCAAGTTTCTACTTATTTCTTGTTGCGAGGGTGGACTGCAAAGGCTGGTCCCGACGAGAAAAAATAAATTTTGCGGTGCTTTAATTTATTGGCTCCGACGGGTGGTCCACTACAGAGCCGAAAGTCGTGACAAACCAAACCTCTTCTGCACAGAGAAATGTTTTAAAGACCTCTCTCTCAATACTTTTATTGGTAAACCGACAAAGCACTGGAATATGACGCAGCGAATTTGTGTTTAGACGGTTGCTGTCAAAATAACATGCAATTAGCGTGTTTGGTGGGAGGTAATTTGCGATATATTGAGATGCTGATCGATCACTAAATAAAGCATTGCTGAGTGAGTGGGATTTGAAAACTTTGAAGCTGAGGAATATTTTTTGATTTGATTTTTTTACTCCTGATAATTTTTCCATTACTGAATTTTTTCATGACTTGTGTAGGTAGAAATAGAAATTACAATATAATAAAAATAATCTTATATATATCATATTTTTCCATAATTTAAATAGGTAAGACATAACAGAAAATTAAAGTTGGTGTTTTGTAATCTCTGAATATTTGAAATTTTAATTTCATAGAACTAAATATTAATAATAACATTGTTGTTAAAACTAAAATTGATTTTTATGTAATCTGTATTGACAAAAAAAAAATAGATCATGCTTACAGTAATAAGTAAATTTAAAATTAAAATGCAAAATAATATCATTAATTACGCAATTCATAAACATAAAATGTCTAATGTAAAAAACATAAAAATTGTATTTTTTAAGAGTTGCTTGTTAATTTAATAATAGTGTAAAAAAAATGTTTTTCTTTAAATTCATGATGGTTAAGTAAACATCAATAATTAAGTACTGTCCAGAGCTGGTCCAGAGTGTCCAGCACTGTCCCCCTTGTAGATTCCAAATAATTTATAATTTTTGTTTCTTCGTATCACTCCAATTCAACGTATATTGCAAACAAAAAAACTATTTACTATATAACCTCATTCATATAGAAGCCTCAAATTATCCAAATAAGATCTCTCTGGGTATTTTTTGTGCCTCGTAGACATTCCTGTGGAGACACGAGCGCTTCTTCTCACTCTTCATAAATGAATAGGCAACCTGACGCTTTCCTATGCCCATTAGAGAATAGGGCAGGCTCGCGTTTCCAGAAATCGAGAAGGCCTGTTGACCCGTGGCCATTCATCTTGGTCGGCGTGCGATTGGGCCGCGATTTGTCACGCTGTGGGGCTGCTTGTGTGGAGACTTCAACGCGCGTGGGTCTGATTTATCGTTTGCCCTGCTCAATCACGTTAATTGCACGACTCCTGCTGCGTCCAAATTACCCAGAAATTCCGAAACATGAGAGACCTCACCCGCACCAAAATAGATAAAATTTAAATAAGGAACTTGTGAGAAAATTTTGACTAATGTTTGTTGAAAGTCTTAAAAGAGTTAAAAGAATAAGACGAAATGATACAGGAAGTTCATGATTAATTAATGAGCACTTTTCGGTTTTTTCACCTCATTATGTTTTCTAATTATGCAGAAACTTTCCGTGACAAAGTTCAACGATAAGAAAGAAAGCAATAAATTATTAAATTGTTTCTTCATTTAAAAAAATATATAAATATGCAGCCATGAAGTTGAACTAATTTAATTTAATGAGCTCGGATCCTGTTACAATAATAAAAGTATAATTAGATGCAATTTCGCACCGCTTCAATAATTGAATTAACCTTGCAAAAATTGCTCTTTTTTGTCACTTCTGACTCGCATTCATTAGCAATATTCCTTGCTAGAAAAACGACGGAATATTATGACGGTTGGTGGGAAACTCGCAGCAGGCGCTAACAAAGGGAGTAAAATTACACGCCTCTTCATCTCTCTAGAGCAAAAAATTAACCTTTCAGGTCAGATATTAAAGATTTACCTGCATCGCAAATCCAAAAAATCCGGTCGCAGAAATTCCGGCCGGCGACTTTCACTCGTTTCTTTGTCACCAAACGAACTCACTGCAATTGAACTAAAACACCAAATTCGGCGACCTTCGGAGCTGCACCAGGACACTGCTCAGGTGGAAATCCGGGAACAGGACACCACTTCACTTGAAGAAGTCTGCACGCACTGGAAATCCTTCGTTTGAATTCGGTGCACGTCCACGCAGAGGGTTGCTCGCGTATGTTTTGGTCTTTGAGGTCACGTAACCTGAGGAATGCACTCGCCGACTGTTCGACTGTTGATCGACTCAACGGCGCTGAAAAAGACCTGTTTGCTGACCGGCCAGGTGCGCCATCTGCAGGCAGAGGAAATCGCCGCCAGGTGAGTTCCCGAGAGCAACAAGCCCGAGAGTTTCCTTCGAGAAGGTGCGAGGAAACGGTCTCAAACGCCATCTCTTACTGACAACAGAGGCAATGCGAACAGCAGGTTGCATACTTGAAACATTGCAGGCGTTTCAGGTAGGCGATATAAATTATCATAATCCTTGAAATTTTTTTTAATTTTGAAGAAAAACTCGATCAATATTTTATTCATTTTATTAAAGGAAATGTAAAATAAAAGCGTCAATGAATCACTAACTAGATAAGCTCATAATGCTTTTGAACAACAAAAATGAATAAAAAAAATTATAAGAAGAAACGTAAGTACAATAAATGAAGTGAAATGAAGTTTTAAAAATTTATTTAAATTATTTTTACTTCTTCAAAATCTCATTTAATTTTGAAAAAAACTTATTCTGAGGTTTTGCATAAAAAATATATTTGATTTGTAACTTAATTATTTGTTTTCGCTATCAATTATAGTTACTTTATTTAATATATTATTTATTTTATTCAAACGTTCTCAGAATTAAAAAATCATATTAGTGACATTGCTATTTCAATTATTGTTTTTCAATAATTTGTAACGAAAACAAACATGTTTCTATGGCAACTAATATAGTGAATGTGCAACAATGAAACACATTCAAATATTAACCAAGACATTGTTTGATATAAAGAAACTCATCCATATTCTAAAAATTTCCATTGTTGTAATTCACGAGAATTTTCAAACGGATTCATCAATTCAAAATGTCAGAGAATCTGAAAGCCGCGATGGAGAAGGGCAGCGCGAATTCCGGCGTGGCCCTTGAGAAGGTCGTAGTCCGACCCGCAAAGCAATCGGAAGGGGAAAACACCAATGTTGAGAAGGAAGAAGTGATTCCGGGGACTCCGGAGGGAAAGGTCGAAGTGGAAGAGAAAGGGCCCAAGAAGAAGCGCGACGGATTCCTCAGCTGGGCCGTTCTGCTGGCGGCCGTGTGTCTCTTCACCAGCGTGTCTGCCCAGGAGTTCACCGTGTTTCACTATTACAACGCGTTCATGAACTTTGCCGAGAACCACCGGGAGTTCAATTACACGGAGGTCGCTTCTCAAATGACCGACTGGGCCCTTCCGCCCTACTACAGCTCCATCCAGGCCCTGATCATCGCCCTGCCGGTTTTGTGGCTCATCGAGACAAAAGCAAGTTTAAAAAATTCATACAAATTCTTAAGTCATATTTTATTGCGTTGTGAATTATTGGAGAAAAATTATCTTTTTTCAAGCAAAATACACAAAAATGTCATTATAAAATTATAAACATTCTTTGGAAAAATATTATAACGATGTCCGCAAACAAGTTGCAGTAACAAAAGTTTTGTTTTTTATCTTTTAAAAATTTTATCCTCATATTCTCACTTATAAAAATTTGAAAAACGACAAGATTCGCAAAGATCAAAGATATTTTTTCAAAAAAATCATGAAGACTCTCCAGCATATAAATTTTTCATTTGGATCAAAAATGATTACATTTTTTCAATTTTTCATTGAATTTTTAGGGTGTTCGACTGGTGTTTGGAATCCTGGCCGTTCTGACGACCCTCGGCGTGGGAATCAAAGCAATAGCCGCTGCTCTCCACCTGCACATCATAGTTGTCTTCATCGGCCAGTCTTTGATCAACCTGAGCCGCATCGGCCTCTTCCCTGCAGTGCACAGACTCTGCGTTGCATGGTTCAGCCGCCGGTCCATCTCTGTTGTATGCGCCATTGCCTTTTTCGGAGACAACGTAAGAAAAACTCAACAAAGGCTTTGAACTAATTAAAAATAATTATGCTGTTAAGCACCAAAGTATAATTGTGCTTGAGAATTTTGAAAGGCATACACGCAAATTTCAGCTCTGTATAATAAATTTAACATTATAGATTGAATGGCATGTACAAAAAAATTTGTTTGTGCTGAGAGAATTAAATCATTTTTTCTGATTAAAAAATTTTCACGAATTTCTCATCACATGAAACTCATATAATTTATAATGTCCAAGTAATCAACTACTTTCTATTTAATTAGTTTCTGTTTTCACTTTCTGACTGAAAAAATTATAATTTTATTGATTTTCTGGAAATTTTAATCTCTTAACTTTTTTGTTATATACGTTATTTTACAGTTGGGCATTTTGGTTGGATACCTTACTCCGCACCTTATTTTCTGGACCTACGACAGAAACAAGGAGAAGTTCAATGAATTCTCTTTGCACATGATTATCCTCTACGGGATTATGGCCTCTCTGGCCATAATATTTTCTATCATCACCGCTTGTAAGTAATAAACTCTTAAAAATCGTTGATTTCTTACCAGAGTAAAATCGACAGTCATCCAAAGTGCTCCAAAAGAACCTTCGAGTCTTGCAGAGAAATTGAGGAACGAAATGGAAAAGCCCGACCAGTCCTTCATCGCGTTCCTGAAGCGCCTCAAAGCAATGTATGTTGCCGACTTTAAACTGGTCATGAACAGCATTGGCTTCGGACTCACTTATGGACTCACAATGATGATTTTTCATCCAATTAGGCAAGCAAAATATTATTTATTCATTAATTGTAAATTTAATATTCAACTTCTAACAGTCTGTTAGTTCCTTACTATTTTTAAAATATTTAATTACATCATGTTGAATATAAATTTAAATTATTTAAGATTACTTTAATTGAATTCTTTTTAACCTCTTGCATAATAAATACCGCAATTTGATGAGTCGATGGCAAAATAGTTAAATCTTCCTCTACAAGAGAAATTAAGTTTTTTTATTTTAAAGGCTGACTGTAATCTTTGAGGTGCACGAGGGAATCAAAGAACTGGATTTGCCAATCACGTCAGTCATCATCGCCTGCGGATACATAGGCTCCCTGGTGTCAGGGTGCATTCTCGACTGGACCAGGAAGCACCACTACGTGGCCCGTTTCTCAATCCTAGGCCTGTTCGCTTTCCACGTAATGCTGGTCATCAGCATCCACGCCGAGTCCATGTACTTCACCTTTTTCTGCTATGGTGGCGTCAGGTTTGTTTGGTCATGTCATCTCGCGTTTTAATATCGATTTTTTAAGTTATCAGTGAAATAAAAGATGGACATTTTTTACAGTCTTTTGTCTTTACAGATATAAAAAGCAGAGATGTGAATTATTAAATACTGAAATACAAGTTAAAAATAAGTAGTCACTTTGTAAACTTTTATCATAATTCTTCTATAACTATTCTTTTTTTTCAATTTTATGGAATTTCTACTAATAACAAAAATTTAGTTGGAAATTGGTAAATATAATAAATATTTAAATGCAATTTATTTGATCATGGTTTAAAAAAAATTGCACTCCAGTGGAAAATTAAGTGCAATAGTAAAAGCTGTCTTAACTTCTCGGTTGGGGTCATAAAAAAATAGAAGAGTTCTATAATAGAGTTTAAATTAATTTTTGTTTATAATTTATAACAACAAATCATATAATTAAATATGAATTTTGATTCCTTCTTTTGTTATTTCAAATTTATAATTTCTTTATAAATGAATTTTTTGCAGCCTGTTCTTTGCATTCTACATGACGGCCGCGATCGAGTACTCCGCAGAAAGGAGCTACCCAGCCCTCGAGAGCACCTCAACGGGCATATTGGTGCTCACCGGTTACGTGGTGGCAGGACTTTTCTCTGTGCTCTTCGGCACACATTTCACCAGCAAGAAGGACGCCACCCTGACTGGTTTCATCTCCACCGCCTTGCTGTCCATCGGCGCGCTTTTCACCATCGGACTCGAGCCCTCGTTCCTCAAGAGGCACAACGCTGGCCAGGATGTGGCGGCCTACTGATTGACAAGCTCTTCACACCTCTCAAATACTAATTGTTAATAGTTAACTGAAAATATTTGTATGTGTTTAAAAAAAAAATAGGTTTCATTTAATTTTTTACTCATCCTTATTTTGTGAAAATCTTGATTCAAAGATGAAATTCAAAAGTGCTCTCGTAATTTCTATTTTTTTTTATATATATTTACCATACTTACAGAAGTTGTTATGACATGACTTTGAAGTTGACAGAAGAAAATACGTAGTTCAATGTCAGGAACTATAGGCATTCAACTTTTGAATTCATAATTTTTTTGCAGATAGTCATTTGTCTTACAATTAAGACCACCAAAGAAATTAAAACACCGTATTATGATTTTTAAAACCTTGTAAAAATAAAAATATAATATATGTAATTATTACGGCACTGCTTTCATAGCAGGACAGCCGCCCATTTTATTTTAATCAAAAAGAATAAAATTTTATTTCATTTAGTAAAATTTGCTGATTATGGATTATGATTTTTACAAACACAAAATAAGTTATTTGCAGTGATTTGGTCTTCTATCGTTTTTTTTTTTCCTTTTTTACAAAGTATGACTTAATTTTGCCACCCTTCAATAAACTGCATTCTTTGGTGAAATGTTTTTGAGTACAAAATGCAGCGAATTGGAGATAAATGTAAATCTCTTTTCGCAATACGTAGCACACAGGCTGTCCGCCAAAATTCGAATATCAAATGATCAGACGACGGTCTTATTGGACGACGGCTGATCCAAGATCATAACAACAAACATGGCCGCTGCCGCTACAGTCTCAATGTTGGTCTCAATCATGTGGAAACAATAATAGGTAAGTTTTTTCATTATTTTATTGGTCTCCAACAGACCTTTTTTGCCGACCGTTTCGTAAATTCGCGCAGGAGTCTTTTTTCAATCCTGATTATTTTGCCATTGTTGCGGAGAATGCTGAGTCCTTATTACTTTTTGAATTGTTTCACATTCTCAACTTTTCAAACGTATGTAACGGTTGCTCGAAAATTCTCATCCCATCAGTTTGAAATAAGGATCTTTTAAAAAAGATCCTTGGATTGAAATGACTAATCTTGTGACTAATTCCGTGTCCCTGCCTCAAAAGATCGGATTCGATGGAGAGAAAGGTTCTCAAGGACTTCAAGGTTGAATTTAGCCCGAAAACTTCACATCGACGCCAATCTACGGTACGGCCTACGTAAGCTTATTAGCCGTATAGTGAGATTTATTCTTCAAGTCGAAAAATCGACTTTATTTTTTAATTGCGGAAGCTAATTAAAATTGGAAAACGAGTATTTTTAGATTCTTAATTCTTACACACAATCTATTGTGTCTTTCAAAAGATATCTTGAAGAAGATTTCTAAAAAAATTTGAATTGTTCATTCGATCGATTGATCATCCATTACTTAATATTAAAGAAATCTTGAAATTTCAATGAAATCGTCTTAAAAAATTACACTTTAACTTTTTAAAAGCGTTTTTCAATTATGTGGTTGGCCTGGTCGGGTGAATTTTTTTATTGGTCTCCAACCCTTGTCGGACGTGAGACCCATCGAGACCTTGCTTAAGACCGGTCGAGATCATTGGTATTGGTGGGTCTCGAAACTCTCGAAATTTTGTAACTTTATCATCATAAGGCTTATGTTCCACATCGGTCTTGGTGGGTCTCAGCCAGTCTCAATGCTTTATATTTTTTATCCTCTTGAAAATAAATATTCCAGCGTTAATCATATTTTGATATTTTAATTTATAAAGCATATTTTACAGCCTTGAGAGTGACTTTTGATCTCCTTTGCGCAGTATTCTTATCAATCCTCATTAGTTTTCAATTGTTGCAACGCTCTTATTAATTTTCTACTGTTGCGAACGTTTTAAATCATATAACGGCTGATTTCATTTTAAAAACTTCAGAACTTGGCCGATTTGATGGTCCAGTGTACATCAACTAGAATCTGCCATTTGGCTGCCAGATGGTTGTAGCCTTCATGAGAAAATTCTGGACCTACACGCCAGTAAGACAAAGCACTTGTATTAAACGACGTAAATATTGAATGAATTTATTTACGCCTGCGTCAGTGAATGCTGAAATTTACACATAATACAGCAATCAAAATTTGGTATTTAAATTCCAAAATCATTTATCAAAGCCTCGACAGCGACTTTTGAAATTTCTCAATATAATATATTTGCAAATTCGTGCAGTGTTATTTTTTCAATCCTGCCATTATTTTTCCATTGTTGCAAAGCCGTTTATTACTTTTTGAATTGTTTCACGTTCAAAGTTCTCGAAAGTCACGGTTTTTGAATAATTCTGCCCATTTCAAAATTATGAATAACTCGGTTCTCAAGCCTCCTCGATTTCCGGACGACGCAGTGGAAGTTCTGCAAGAAGCCAGTGATTTAGGCCGGAAGGCAGGCACAGCCCACATTGAGGCCAATTTACCTTACGGTCTCCAAGTTGCCGTGGCCCAGAAGAACAAGCTAGATCTTCGACGCCCATTCCAGTATGATAAATCATGTACATTTAATGCCTCAAATAATGAATGTGAAGGCCGCATGGAAAGGCTGGCTGTCGTCGAGGGAAGCAGCCGTCGGGGCAAAGGTCTAACAATAAGTTACACCGGCCTCACCACAACAGAGGCTGCTCAAGTGCGTGCCGATCCCCGGAAAGCGAAGCCAGCCTTGCTGGTTCAATTTTGCTTGTCGAATCGGCTTGACATGTACGGCTGTGTCAGTGAGTAGCGCTTTAAAATTCATCTGTAATCAAAATGATGAATTTTTTCCTCTCTTTCAACAGGCCTGCCTGACCTGGCTGTGGTTGTGAACAGGGCCCTGAGGAAAGAAAAGAATAGAGCTCGTCGGGATGCGATGGAGGCTACGGCTCTTGTGAGGGCAGCCGAGGCAAAGCAGCCGAAGGGTCTGATGGACAAGATCGTCTTGTGGATTTGGGGCGGCCCTTAGGAGAATTGCACACCGTCCTTAGCCACACTGAGGCGGACCAGTTGCAAGCTGATCCCAAGGAAGCCTCTCTGGTTCAATTTTGCTTGGCCAATCAGCTGGACTTCTACGGCTGCATAAGTGAGTAGCGCTTTTTAATTCATCTGTAATCAAAATGTTGAATTTTATTTTCCTCACTTTAAACAGGCCTACCTGACCTGGCTGTTGTTGTGGAACGGGCGCAGAGGAAAGAAAAGAATAGAGCTCGTCGGGATACAATGGAGGCTACGGCTCTTGTGAGGGCAGCCGAGGCAAAGCAGCCGAAGGGTCTGATGGACAAGATTGTCACGTGGATGTGGGGCGCCCCCAAGGAGCAGTGAGATAACAAGCAGTCAAATAAAATCATACATTTTAAGTTTAATTATTTTTTGAACAATTTATTGACTCCATTGTTAATCAAAAACACATTTACAAGTATTCAAGTTTTTTGCTGTAAGCGGATCAGTTTTGAATTTTACAAAATAGGCAGCCTAATATTGAGATTTATTCTGCAAGTTGGAATCCACTAATTTTTTTAATTGTGGAAATTAATTAAATTGAAAATGTTTTGAGATTCTTATGCAATCTTTTATATATTTCAAGATATGTATTGATGTTCTTATGCAATCTTTTATATATTTCAAGATATGTATTGATGTATCTAGCTCAAGTTTTCTTAAAAGCTTTTTTAATTGTTCATTCAATTGAAGTCCAATAAAAACCATTTGTTATAATTATGCAATTTAACTGTTAGACTTAATAATCTTATGTGGAGGAAGGATATTTCCAAGATTCTACATTTTATGGTGCAACAAGAGGAAGGTTTTACATGCTAGACACTTTGACTTTTGATTTGCTTTTGATTAAAACTTTTAATATTTGCTAGGAGAGGCGTTCATTGGCGTTGTTAAATTTTCTACACTCTTTTTATTAATAAAGAAATACACATCATAAAATACTTACTTTTATCACGAAATACCAATTTTATTTAAGTCTTCCAAACTACAATTGGCCGATTTAACTTTTGAAGATAAGCTGCTGAAAATTTATAACAAGTAATATTGCTCTAAAAATATAAAACATAATTTGATTCAAGTGAAATGAGACTAAGCAAGATTCCACACTTTCATCTAAAGTATTCAAATTTACTAAAAGAAATGGAATCATATAAATGCCTGAGAATATTTCTTGGAGGAAACATTTCTTTAAAAATGCATGTTGAGGATCAAAGGGCAGTGGTCGCTTCCGAAGACGTGGTTTCTGATCAGCGAGTCGCACATGTTGGGCAGCAGCTTCTCGGAAATGACAAAGTAATCAAGTCTCCAGCCAACGTTGTTAGCTCGGGCGTTGGCCATGTAGGTCCAGTAGGTGTAGGCGTCCTTCTTTCCAGGGTTGAGGTGGCGGAAGGTGTCGATGAAACCCTCGTCCAGCAGCTTGGTGAAGTCGTCTCGCTCCTCCTTGGTGAATCCGGCGCTCTTAGTGTTGCTCTTGGGCCGGGCCAAATCTATCTCCTGGTGGCTGACGTTCAGGTCCCCGGCCAGGATGACGGGCTTTTTGGCGTCCAGCTCCTTCATGTACTTGAGGAAGTCCTCATTCCACTTGAGTTTCTTGTCCAGAGTGACCAGCTTGCGACCGGCGTTTGGAGTGTAGCAGCACAGAAGATAGAATTTGTCAAACTCGGCAGTGATCAGGCGGCCCTCTTTGTCGTGGGACGGGCCCAGCCCGTACTTGACCGAGATCGGTTTCACTTTTGAGTAAAGACCCACTCCAGCGTAGCCCAGCTTGTCTCCTGAAGATAAACCACAGTAAGAATGAATCAAAATTAATCTCAAAGCAAGAATTAATAAAAAAAAAAGGCGAAATTTAAAAATTACAGCTGTAACTTTTGTTTGCAGAGTCAAATTTAAATAAAATATTTTACCAGATTTATTAAAATCCCAATTAAGTTTTTAATGAAATTGTTTGTTAAAAATGTTTACCAGAGCCGTCTGCCCAGAAGTCGTGATATCCTTTGATTTTGGCCTCACTGGGAAGTTTGTCCTTTGTGCACTTGACCTCTTGTAGGCACAAGATATCAGGATCCTCATTCTCAACATATTCATTGAAGCCTTTCTGAAAATTATCAAATAAAAATAAGAGATTTGCTTCAATAAAGTAGAAGTTTCAAACCTTAATAACCGAACGCAATCCTCCTACGTTCCAAGACGAAATTTTCAAGTTGAACGTCTTGCCATCGTCAGTTGTCTTTGAATCTTTGTAGTCGGTGTCGTTGTGGTTGCTGTTGGTCGGATTTTTCAACGCCTTTTCGTCCTTTTCCTCCGTGGATTTGCCTTTCTTGTTCGGGCCTTCTTCGTCCTCCGCCTTCCTCTTCCTGCTACCTTCGCCTTCGGAGTCCTTTTTGGGCTTTGCCTTACCGGCGGGACGACCCATTGCCGATAATTGAACTGTTAGATTTTGAAAATGATTAGATTTAAGCAAACGTGGGCTGCTTTTGAGCTTAAAATAGCGGATATTTGAGAGAAGAGAGAACTTTGGTTTCAACACAAATTTGACGAGCAGAAACCGCGGGAGCAGCATGGATAGTAAACACACTTGGCCGGCAACAAAATGCCCCTCCTCCTCTTTCGAAGTGCGCCAAACAAGAATCATCTGGGTACCTCCTTTTCACATGAAGTCCTGGCAGCGAATGACAGAAAAATCCGCCTAAGAAGAAAAAGCAGCCAGAACCGTGAGCTGTTTGGTTGGATTTCGCTTTTTCTTGCTTTACATACAACACAATACACTTCACACACTTCACAGCAGCGGATGTTTAATTAATTGTAAGTAAATTCTGTGTGTCTCTATTTATGCTCCCTACAAAAACGATGCCGAAAAATCGACCAACTATTTTAAAACACTTAGTTGTTGTTAATTCTTCACAAAAATTTTCAAATGTTCAGGCAAATTAAATTATTTTTTTCTATTTCTTCGCAAATAAGAGAATAAAGTTCCAATCAAATAAATTAATCCAAAGTATGTTGACTCCTTCCAATCAAATATTGACACATTATAATATAATAGGATTCCAAATTTATTTTTTAAAGCGCAATATTTCATTAATTTTTTTTCCTTGATGATATTCAGGAGAATATATATTAACTTGCATACCTCAATTCATTTGTAAGAAATTTTAGAGCATAAGCGATTTTGATTTTGTTTTCAAATAAATATATTCTGATAATTGATACTATATTATAATATTATTTATTATTAAATGCGCAATTTCCTTGTGGTACAATTTACGACTCAAAAATACCCATCGAGGAATTGAGTCGACTCACGATAAAATGCGTCTTTGTTAAATATTTTGAAGGGAAGCATATATATATTACTGAAACTGATTTTCGTTATGTATAGTTTTTTTGACAATATAATAATAAAAAAATACATTGACTTCATACATTACGCAAAGTAATTTTGAGTAATTTTAACAAATAAAATTTGTAGATTATAATTTTGTGGTAATGTTTGAATACAAAAATGTTTTAGCTATCCTTTCCATGTTTGACGAGTTAATTTTGTGCTTTGAATAAAAAATACCTTTGTATTTATTTTATAATTTATTTATTTATTAGTCAATAATTGTGAAAAAGTTTGGTCAAATTAAACTAAAAATCGGTCCAAAGTAATGGATGGATCTGTGACGACTGAACGCACGCCGGCAAGTGTGCTGCTACTGTTCTTCAATGAGGATACCTCCTGTTCGCCTGTTGTCCTGGCATCCAATGACAGTAAAATCCAGCTAAGATGAAATCCAGCCAGAGTGTGTGTTTTGTTTGGTTGGATTTGCTTTTTTATTTTTTCTCGCTTCACAGCAGCGGACAATAAAGAATTAATTCACGTTTTTAAACTATTTTATCTTCTTGCGCTTCAAACAAAAACATCAAGAAATTATTAACAAGTGTATTATTTCATATTTTAGAAAAAAATCAGGAAAAATTTCTTTTTTCTTCAAAAATAAAGGGAACAAATTTTCAATTAAAAATCAAACTAAACACCAAACAATACACAATGAGATTTTTCAATTTTGTCACTATTCCATTGAAAATAATACATATTTAGGCGAGAAATATTATTTATTGAACACCTCATTATAGGACAATTGTACAGTTTTAGTGCAAACATAAGCGATTTCCTTTTATATTCATTGCATGTATGTGTATTCTGGTTGGTCAGATAATATCGAAATTATTTATTAAGAAAATGCATGTGTGTTAATTAAATTAACTATTAAAAGGGGAGGCATTAGAGGAGTTGCTGAAGTATTTTTTTTTGTACCATCCAATTCTGTGACAATAGAATAAAATGATCGACTTCATGTATTATGCAAAGTAATTTTAAGAAATAAAATTATGCTGATTGTGAGGTCAAGCAATACTTTCCATGTTTAACGTGTAATTTTTTTACGTTGAATAGAAACAAGACGTTTGTTTACTTGCTACATTATATTTATTTATTACCCCAATTATAAAATAAAAATTTAGTTGCCTCTAACGCACAATGCCGACAAACTGTGTCACTCCACTTTTTTTCGAGGTTACCTCCTTTTCGCGTGATGTCCTGGCATCGAGTGACAGTAAAATACAGCTAAGATGAAATCCAGCCAGAGCGTGTGTTGTGTTTGGTTGGATTTGTTTTTTCTTGTTTCATATAGAAATAATAAACGATTTTTTTAAACTACTTTATCTTTTCATGCTTCCTATACTAACACTGAAGAATTATTATCAAGTTTTTTTCTTTTTAAATAATTAAAATGTCATTTTTCCTTCAAAAATGCAATAGAAAAAAAAATTGAAATCAAAATAGATCCGAATTGATCAAAATACAGCAAAACAATTTAACCAAGCAAAGCATTTTCCTTATAATTCATTACGTATAATTATTTTTGTTAGTATTCCTTATAATTCATTACGTATATAATTATTTTTGTTAGTATGGTATGGTAATTATTAATTCTTCAAACTATATTGATTTGCTAACTATTAAAAAGGGGGCATTATGTAGATTAGTTACTGAAACTTTTTTATATACATCCAATCTTGTGACTATGGTAAAAAAAAATGTAAAAAAGAAATCGGCGGAAATTTCAATCTATGCAACCGGAAGGACATCCCGCGCCGCGCAAGTTGCCAGCTCACAAATTGTAGGTAACACAATAAATAACATCCATATCAGCGAGAGACTTTACAAAATAAACTTTTCTCATAAAAAAAAAACTGAAAAAGAGAGCCAAAAAAAGAGTTGCATATTTACATAATACTGGAGTTTTGTGGCACCCGAGAAATCCTTTTTTAATAATCTTTCAAAAGGATCTTTAATTTTTTCATCCAATATTAAGTAACTGAATTTTAGATTATGATATAATTAGAAGAGGAGTGGGTTTATAAAAAACGATAAATTTGGAGCAAACAAGCTGCTATATATTATGTCGCCAAATCCCCTCTCCTCGTCTGCTTTGCTGGACAAGCAATATAAATATCATTCCTGGTTAATTATTTTTAGATCTTGCTCCGTTCTGAAAAGCTAATCTTCAAGCAAATGCGTCTCCAGCCATCATTCGTAAGATATTTTTAATTTTTTTATTATTAATGAATAATTTCACCATTGTAGACGTGTTTCTATCATTCACTTTCACTTAGCCAGAAATTTATTTACTCTTACATGGATCACATGGATTATTTAAAAAATATATTCGCTCTTGTTGCATCATAAAATTATATTAAATAAGATTTGTCATATTGTACGACATGCTAAATTTAGTAAATTTTCACAAAATTACAATATTTATGACGGATTATTATAAAAGTCTTACCAAGTAAGAAGCAGCAAATACAACTTTTATTATTTAAATATGAAAATCTAGAGAAGAAAATTTGTTGCTTATTGGTTTATTGAGAACTTTTTAAAAGTTAGTGGGAAGAAATAAAATATCTTCCGAAATATTAAATTGCTGTCAATATAAGCTAGAAACTTATAATAAAATTAAAGATATTTTAAATAAAAAAAGTAGTTCGCTCTGGTAATCAGAAAAATAAGTTTCAAATAATGTGATAAAGAAAAATAATTTTTAATGACCCTTTGTGCCCCTGGTATATTTCCAAACATTAATGTCATAAGGCACGCAAAGGTTACTCGGACAATGTGACCCTTTTATAGATAATCTATTATTTCTGCTTGTTTCCAAACTTAAATAATATTTCTTTTTTTATGAGATTTTACTTAACTGATTAGCTTAATAAGTTTATTATTATAATTGAGCGCACTTACAAGTTATAATTGTTTTGTTTTTAAATCGTTTAGTTTTTCTTATAATAGCTTATTTGTAATTTTAGTCGGTGATCACGTTGGCCCTACTATGCGTGGCCTACAGCGATGCAAGGAGCACCAGCAACGCGACCAATATGATTCTACAGTACATCGACGAAGGAAAAATTGAGTGGGCGAGCAACGCGTTCCTTAGGTTGCCGGAAAACAGGGATGAATTATTGGCAGGAATTATCAGCAAGGCTTACAACGGGAGCACAGCAAAATTGTTGAAAGTCACAAAATTTGCCGACAGCGTAAAATACTTCAATTCGGAAAAAATCGCTTTCGACACTTTGTACAAAGAAATGGAGAAGAACGGCCACCTGAGCGAAAAGGAAGTTTTTTACCAGTATTGCGTATTATCGCGGATAAGCAATGCCCCTTTTTTCAAAGCGCAGGACGGGCCTCTTAAAAATGCATTGCTAACGCTAAAGAGCAAATTTGCTGCAAAAAAAGAAGTCTTCTTAAACTCGCTAGCCCTAGAAATCTATCAAGATTACAAAAACCAGAAAAGCAAGCAAGTTTTTGAATTGTTTCAATATTCTTATTCGGAATGCTTCGTCCCGGAATTGGTACAGAAATTAATGTCCTCGCAAAGTATAGAATTCAAAACCATAATTAGTCATAGTTTAGAAACTCCTGGTAAAAAGCAACAATGCATCTATTTGGAGGAGCTGAAGAAGGGTTTGGAATCGCGTGGTAAAAAAGATTCGTTGGAAGACTTGGTCGTCTGGACAAGCGCCAAGTACAACCTTTTTAACACGACCGGTGGGGACTTGAGCTCTGATCGGTATTCAGAAAAGTGCAAGGCGATTTACGAGCAGCCGCCCATCAGCAAGTTGCGTTTCCACGACCAGTACATCTCAAAAGTGGCGCAGGGCAGCGTCGATGATATCAAAAAGTGGCACCAAGACTATCCTATCATGCGATTCTTCTTGGCCGACGTCATCCAGAGTTTGCCGAAAGATCAAGTGCAGAAATCAAACGTCAACAAATGGGCAAATTTTTTCGAACAACTTCCCCTTGAAGACAAATGTCTCTCTGCAAAAACGTTGCTTGACCAACTGGAAAAATTCTCCTTACTTAAAGGTCACGAGCACTTCAGAATTGCAAACGTCCTGATGAAAAATGGCGAATACAATAAATTTTGCTCGGTCGTAAAAGACAGCTTGCCGCGCGTGTTCGAGCAACTAATCTCTGGAAAAACGGGCAACTGCAGGCTGATTAACAGATTTTACAGCGAACCTCTGTACTGCACATCGGTGTTACGCTCCGATGAGCTCGGACGCAAAATTTATACTTGGGTTTCCAAAGAGAACGCCGCGGACCAGCACTGGCGAGTCCAGATAAGACCATCAGACGCACGCGTTTCCTTTTTTAACATTGAACGTGAGCGCCAGTTGCGTCACGTGCAGGGAAAAATCGTTCGAGGAGGAGGAAATGGATTGACCGACAAAGATTATTTCCAACTGGCGGCTGTTGATGGCGACTACCTAGTCATCGAATCGTCTGTCGGTAAGTTTTAAGTTGTGGTTCAATATTATATTAAACCCACTAACGCTATTAAAAATTGTTTTTAGAAAACAAAAGGCTCCTTGCGACGTCCGAAGAATGTGCCAGTTCAAGGCGTTGCGTCGAAATGGGAGATTACGAAAAGGGCAACACAAAATTTCATTGGTCACTTCAATGCAATTAGCTATTTTTTGCCCACCATATTGACTATTAGTTGTCAAAAAATTTTAATCTTTAATCACAATTGTTTAGCAAAATGCAATTTATAGAAATTCAATTTTTAATTAAAATTAATGGTGTTTTAAAAAAATTTCAATTCAAAATAATTCCAGAGCTAGGTCAAAAATAGCTGTTCAATTTATAATCACTATACGTCTATCGCATTTAATATGCGATCTTTTTTAAATAAAATGCGCAGCAAGTTGAAAATAGTTATAACAATGTGATTGTATCATTTGGAAAAATAAAAAATTTAATATCTCGTCCTCTTTATTTCTGTTCATTTCAGAACTTAATTATTGTTTCAGGATTTCATTGATGCATTTTATGAAATTTGTATTACATTTAGATTTGTTTAAAAATGCAGAAAAAGCAATATATTCTTTGTCAGATTTCTTTCACAAAAAAAGATCTCACTAGATTTTGACAGTAGTTTTTTATTATAATTAGTTTTTTTTTTATACATTTAATTTTTAAATTAAATTCTTCAGATATTAAAAAAAATTACAAACTGCTAAAAATTATATTTTAAAAATATATAATCTAGTATTTTTTTAATAAATTTTTGGTTTGCATTTTGCAGTTCCACCTTTTTAGAGACAGACTTCGCGAATCGTGTAGCATGCAAAATTGAGATACATAAATAGGCTTGGTCAGTACAGATGATCCTTTGGCTTGGGCACGGTGTCAAAGTCTACAATGCTGTCGTGGTTCCAGCGCCACGCGTACCATGTGTCAAAGCGCTTAGGCCACTTGCGCCACCGCTTGTAGTGCCCGGGGTCGGAAATGTACCCTGCCAAAAAAATTTCCAATGAAGAAAAGAAAAATAAAGAAAAACTCACATCCAGAGCCGTTGGCGACGACCATTGAGCAGAGGCCGACGAGCACCAGCAGCAGCAACCAGCTTTTGTTCTCCATGCCCTGAGTGTCGAGAGTGAGACGACCAGGAACATTAACACCGCTTTTAAAGCCTCCATAGCTGCGTTGAAAATAAAAATACCTCCCGCTGACGCTGTATGTAATCATTGCCAAAATAACGCATCAGAATTAAGCAAAGCAGCACCAACCTTGACGTTACACAACAATAATTAAGTTTTCTCATTTAGAAAACTAGCAAATGATGACTTTATCATATTTCAAGATATTATTTTATTAATTTTTTAATAATGCATCTAAAAAAAAAAAAAAGTTTGTTATTTTTATGTTTAGTTTCTGGCTTTTTATTTTAACTTCCATATTTCTATTTTTAAGCTTCGAGATTAACAAAAAATAATTGCATCATGATCAATCGTGACCGCGATCGCCGTGATCCCTGCGCCTGATGGGCCATCTATTGTCCCATCTATCACGCTGCCAGTTGTCAGTGATGGAGCGTCCAAACCAGGGATCCAAGTTATTAAAATATTGCCAGTAGCGATAGCAATAAGGGGGTCCTGGGATGCGAAACTGCAGCGGACAATCTCTCCAACGGCGCCTCAAGTCTCGCCAGTTATTCCAATCATCCCAGTCTGAAAATTAAAACACCCACTATTAATTTTCAATTTTTTGAAAACTAAAATTTTTTCCTTTCCCATTTTTTTTTAATTTTCCAAAATATCTAAAGAAATATTTAAAAATATTGTGAAAAAAGTAATTTGCATTTTGAAAGCAAAATAAATATATGCAACTACTGAATTCTTACCAGCGGTTGTTGTGTGGATGGCAGCAAAGAGAATGAGTGCCGCTGCCAGAAGCTTCAACTTGACCATTGCAAAGAAATGGTGGAAAATTACTGCAATGTTCAAATTTTTCCTGAGTTCTTATAGCAGAGGACAAGAGACCGCCCTTCAAACCTTGAGCAAGTGTCTTATCAGCACCAGCAGTGATAGCCATTGCAGCACCGCTGGACACTTTTCATTTTTTTTATGTCCGTCTGTCCGACCGTCCGTCACTATTCACCTTCAAAGATCTTGTGCAACATTTTCCTAACTTCTAGTTTTTCTTTCTTCCAAAACAATAGACTATTGTTTTTTCCATTGTTATGTAACCAAAAATTAAATCGCAGAAAAATGTTGCATAGAACGCGAAAAATGAAACTAAACGCATTTCACATTTCTTAAAATTTCCAAGAGCTCCAAAATCTAAAAATATTTGAGAAGTTTAATTTTCAAAGCCGCATTCACTGAAATACATCCGTTTCTTTTTTTAGGTCGAGTGCTTGAAAATAAAATTTATATATTCGTCAATTATGGTGGTATCAAAATTTTGATAATTTGCATAAAAAACTGGTACAATTTTTCAAAATAAGATAATAAAAAAGCTGCATATGGTTTCTTTGAGTTATTTATTTATTTCAACCAGAGCTTTTGCAATCCAAAATCAAAAAGTCAATTGTTATATATGTATACTTTGCATCCTTGCAACACTGCAAGTATTTGAATGACAAATTATTGATATGCATAACTTTCATATAAGGTAACAACGTTCCTTTTTATTACTCGAATTTGTAATTTTCCAAATCAAAAAGAACAATATATTTTAACAGCTTTAAAATTCTCTTTAATCAACCCATTACATTGTTCATTTGTTGGAGGTTGAGTCCGTCTCTGAAGGGGATGTTTCTGGACGGATTTGCAACCATATTGCGTCCTGAACGCTCAAGCAGACCCCGCCAGTACAGGAAACACAACAGTCTGTCCGTTTGGTACAAGTCGCCAGGACACATCGGCAGACTGTCGTTGCGAGCCACCTCTGACAAAATAGTTATATACTTATTGAACTCCTTTGCAAATTGATTTCACCTTGAGCAGTCGAGAACCAAAGACAGCACAGCACCAGGAACAAGAAGAAACTCAAAAGCCGAACCGACATTTTTGAAAGTTCAGTGAAAACTAAGCCAGTCGCGCGCAATTGGAAAAAGGAAAGACAACTAACGGTGCCCTTATCGCGGTGTCCCTTTATGCGCTCAGCTAATAACAGCACAAAAAAAAACATTATTACTCAGAAAAAACATTTATATTTTTATTAAAAATTGTATACAAAATAACCATTATTATTAACCAAATTTACATAAAATAAATTATAGAAGAATGGCATTATTTCCGGTCACTCCTGGTTTGTAGCCGGTGTGGGTGCGGAACTTTTCGAGCTCAACTTTGGCTTGCATTCGGCGCGACTGCATCCTCTCCCGTCTGTAGGTGCCCTTGTCGGGGCGGTGCTGATTGTTGGGGGATTTGAAGTACCTTCCATTGTTGTAACATTCAAGCCGGTTGAAGTAGTAAATTTCCGGCGGGCAACCAACCTCTGGCAGCCAGTAAGGCCGGTATGGCTCTGGAGGTGACCACCAAAGGTCGTTCGATCCGTAATAATCATCTATAATGATTTCATACAAAAAAATTAGGGGAAAAAATTGAAAGCTTGTAAACAATTGTGTATTTATTGGAATACAAGAATATGGTGCCAGAAATTAAATTAGATAATTGGATGAAAATTAAAGTGGTTTGACCTTCTCCAACTGAAAATCAGGAAAAATAATAATATAGTGGAAATCAATCAGCATTTACCGCGGTATCGTCCTCTGTAGCAGTTTGCGGCGATGAATCCAGATGCCAAGAAAACGAATATAGCAACCGACTGAACCATATTGCTCATCAGGTCGGGCTACAGGTCGCGAATGACTAATTTTAAGGTAACGCGCGCAACCTCGAAACAAACAAAACCGCGGGGACTCGTGGCGAAATCTCTTCTCGTTATCGCGGTAAATGAAAGCCACCCAGCATATTTGTATGGGAATTTTTCGCCCCCCGCTGCTATTCTTGACATTTTGACATCTTGTCAAGCCCAAAATAGAAACTATATGCGACTAACTACTTTGCTGAATAATTTTAGTAGAAATCATTTACATGTTTGCAAAAATGAAAATAATATATAGCTGTCTACATACTGAATAATGGAATCACTTTATTCACTTTCTAGGCTTGCGTTACAATAAATTTTATCACTGCTTCTTGCGTTCGTTGGCTTCCTTAACCAACTTCCAGTAGGAACAGCAGGGGTGGAAGTTGTGCGGTGAGCACCACCGCCAGTGGTAAGTGTTGCACCTCATCACATAACGAAAGTTTGGTTTGTACCACCGCTTGTCATCCTCTTCTTCTGACCAGTCTGAAAAGGAGAATTCAAGATTTGTATTTTAGGTCTAAAATTAAAGCATTATAAACAAAATTCATTTCAAAACTAATTATTTTGAAATATTTGGTAAATACACCCCATATCAGAAGCATTTAAAGTAAGCTTTTGGTTGCCCCTGTAAAGTATGCAATCTTTAATTTAAACTATATTAATTTTTCATATTTCTTAACCATATATCGATGTAACCTTTATTGAAATTTACAAATTTCAATTTATGAACCTTTTATATCAATAAATGAATAAAAATGGCTTTCATCTATATAGTGCGGCTTTTTTTTCTTTCTTCTGTTACATGTAAATCTTGTGGAACTTATTATAGAAAATTTCTGCACTTTGCCAAAGAAGACGTTGTAAAGTTTCTGCTCTGCTAAAATGATTTATGTCTTCATATGGACACAATTCATTTCTTGTTATCAATACATTAATTCTTGTTTAGTCACAATCAGAGTTGTAGGGGAGATTGAAATGACTCACGAGTGGCGTTGCTGGAAGATAAAAGGGCGGCGATGAGCACGGCTAGAAAAAGCACTTGACTGCACCTCATTTTGTCAAAAACTGACGACCTTAGAAACCGGTTGCTTTCAAAAGCTGCAGCTCTTTTGCGTAAGATTGCAGCCCTTTATCTTCCTCTTCCTTCCAGGGGGCTCCAAGCGTCCCAGTCGTCCCAGAGAAAATAGTTTTGTTTTATTAACAATAAAAAAGAGTATTTTATTTTTCATTTATTATTATTACAATATTTTAGAGTGCTTTGCTTATCTAACAAAGTGAGTTATGCCTTGATAACCTCACTGGCGATTAATTCGATTTCGATCTCTTGCCAGATAACGTACGTAACGTTCTATTTAAGGTCCAAAAAATCAGCAAGCAATTCTCAGTCAGCACAGTGTTTGATAAAATACCAAGTAAAAAATGGGTTGCAAACCATCCAAGTAAGTTCAAAGTTTTCAAATAATCTCAATCTACTCTGACTTTGTGAAAAAAATCAGAAGACAGATATTTATATCTACGCTGGTTAAATTTTATGTAAAACAATCTGTATTACATTTTGTTCAAGTTTTGAGATAATTAAAAGTGCTTTCATATTCTGGCATGGATTTGATTAATTTTTTGTAAATGTAATAAGGAGCCCTGGCAAAATGGTGCTGTATTATGACAAAAGGAGCGCCCCTTGCCGCACTGTAATGCTGACGGCCGCTGCACTTGACCTTAAACTCCAATTGGAACACGTTGACTTGCAGAAGGGCGAACACATGAAGCCAAAGTTCCTCGATGTATATCTTATTTAAAATTCAGTTAAAAAAAATAAGAAGAAGATAAATTAACAAATTTTGTCTTTTTGCAGATGAACCCACAACACTGCATTCCAACGTTTAAAGATGGAGACTTTATTTTGTGGGAAAGGTACTAAATTTAAAATTACTTTTTTAAATGTGTTACGCAGAGAAAATTTTACTTCAATTGCATCCTTTTTTAATTTCCATATTCATTGAAACAAATTCTCATTAAATTTGATTATTTGACTGATTTATGCAATTTTTGTTGATTAAATTTCTTTGTCAGCCGAGCAATTGCACAGTACCTGATGAACCAGTACGCTACCGACGACTCACTTTACCCGAAAGATCCACGCCGCAGAGCTCTAGTGGATGCCAGACTAAATTTCGATCAAGGCTTCCTTTACCAGCGCCTTTTGAACTATGTATATTATTTGAACAATATTTTCTTCCCCTGATGTGACAATACAATTAAACTTTTGCAATATTTAGTACGTGAAGCTTTTCTTCCAAAAGACGCACGACCAGGAACTGCTGGACAAGGTGATTGAGGCATTGGAGATGCTGGACAAATTCTTGGACGGCAAACTTTGGGCCGCCGGTGACACGATGACCATCGCTGACTTTGCTCTAGTTGCTTCTGTTTCCACCGCAGAGGTATTACAATTTTGCTATTTATTGAAATATAATATTTTAATTCATAAAAATTAGTTTTTTTCTGACAAAATCAACCTGGATAAAACGCCGCATGTGGCCAAGTGGCTGGCCAGGTGCAAGGCCAACATTAAGGGTTACGAGGAGCATAACCAGGACGGAGTGAACGCTCTCAAAGAAGTAATGTCGAAAATGTAAAATCCCGTGGCTATATTATTTGTTCTCTATAACCGCAATAGAAAAAGTTAAATTTATATCATTGTTGATGTTCCAAATTGGTATAGCAATAATAATAATTTTTTTGAAACATTCTTATCATGTTTTCAAAAGTTTTGATATTATAACAGGATAAAAAGGAATATTTTTTCATGCCTCTCTGCAATATATATTGCTACATTCGTATCTTATTTACATAAAATTATATTTCCTGATTAAATTTTAAATGACTTAATCCATCAACAATCGTAAAAGATTTTGGTCATTGAATGTTTTAATCAAAAAATTTGGAGTATTTTTTAAAATACCCATTTAAGTTTGACGAGCGTTGGTTTGGAGCACAAGCGCATTTTAGCGCTCTTTGTGGAGGTCTCAATTTGCAGAGGCTCCTCTCAAAAATCACTGAATTTTAAAATTGTGTGCCATAAGATGGATATAGTATATAGTTTTGTGTGGACCATAAATCAATCAATTTGCACCATATTGTGCTCACTAAATTTTAATTGTCGTATACCTTTTTTGTTGGAAGGTATGTTCCACAATGAAACAAAATAAAATTAAATATCACCTTTACTTGCTTCAATAATTTTAAAAGGTTGTTCTTATTCATTGGATGGCAGCAAAAATCTTTTCAGATTAAATACTACTAATTAGTCATTTTATCAATATTACTAATAAATTAGTATCCAATTTTTCAAAGACAAATGCAAAAAAAGCAGGACGCAAAATGTACTCACGAGCGCGCCGTGTTTCATGGACTTAAGCTTGAGCGCAATTATTCAATTATTTTTGAGAGGGATTTTGGGTTCGTTCTTAATCAAGCTTGAAATTATCTAATGTGACGCAACCCTCTGGTGGCTTTATACAAATTATATCACAAATAAACCTTTTTTATCTCAATCATGAAACTAGCTGATATGTGAGCACTTGTTATATGTATCATTTTCATTCAATTGAAACACTCGTCATTTAGCATCATTTGAAAGCTCAAAATTTGCATCAAATATGGGTGGCAAAAGTTTCAAGTAAGTATATAATTCCAAAGATACATAACTATAAATATAATTAAATATAAATGTAACATTCTTGGACGGCAAACTTTGGGCCGCCGGAAATTCAATGACCATCGCCGACTTTGATGCGTGGTCACATCCGACACCTTCGCAGAAGTTGTCTGCCGAGGTTGCGTAGGTTTCTTCCGCTATGTTAACGCAATAAATAAATTTCTTGGAAATATAATGGTAAAATTAGTCTTTGATCAATGAATACATTTATTACGTACTAATTATATTTTTCCCTTTAAATCAATGATACTAGTTTTCCAAAATTTCAATAGGAAATATACGAAGTACAAAGTATAATTATATAATTTTCCACTAAAGCATTATGACCGTTGCATCAATTCATATAATAAAATTACAACAGATGATTCCTTAAAAGAATTGGGCATACGAATCAAAACAATACGAATATTTTGTGGTTATATTCTTTCCAAATACTAAAAATAAAAATTGGTACATTAATAAACATGTCAAACGATGTAGAACAAGGAATAATGATCGTTGATCACTATATCTAAAATTATGGTACATTTTCTGATAAACTTCGAATGACTCGCTCAGGAAGATAAAGACTTTAGTCATTGAAAATTTTAATCTAACAATTTTGAGTACTTTTTTGTATTATCTTAAGGGAGGCAGCTCTCTGGAGAATTCTATACAAAGTGTATTATCAGAAAAATATGTTTTTATCTCAATTGCGTCAAATTACATGCCTAGCTGATATGCAGACACAGAATCGTATAAAATCACGTCCAGCCATTTAGTTGCAATTTAATGACTTTAATACCACTCATCATTTGCTTTCAATTGAACACTTAAATATTTCCTCAAATATGGGTGGCAAAAGCTCAAAGTGAGTGTATAGAGCTGAGACTTTGGTTGTGATTTTAACTTTGAGTAATATTTAAATGTGCGGATCAAAGGTCAACGGGTGGCAATTTGGTCCTTTATTACGACGAGCGGAGTTCGCCATGCAGGACGGTGATGCTGACGGCCGCCGCGCTCGGACTCAAGCCCGAAATGAAACGCTTTGATCTGCTGAAAAACGAGACCACTGCTGATCCTGAATTCCTCAAGGTTTGAGAAAAAAATCTTAAATTTTTATTTAACTCACTACGTGAAATTCAGATCAACCCGCAGCATTGCGTTCCAACTTTAAAAGACGGCAACTTTGTCCTTTGGGAAAGGTACTCAAAGAAAGCATAATAATTTGTGGCGCTGAATTTATCTCAATTTTTTTAGTCGGGCGATTGCTCAGTACCTGGTGAACCAATACGGCGCCAATGACTCTTTGTACCCGAAGGATCCAAAGAAAAGGGCACTGGTTGATGCGAGGCTATTCTTTGATCTTGACCGCCTCTACCCCAATCTCTCTCACTACGTACGCAAAAGATAATATAAACCAGTCGAGTAAAAAAATACCCTCATGCGGGTCGAAATTTAGTTCACAAAGCTGTTCTACCAAAAAACGCGAGACGAGGAATTGCTGAAAAAGGGGCACGAGGCTCTTGAGCTGCTCAACACCTTCCTTGAGGGCAATATGTGGGTCGCAGGAGATTCCATGACAATTGCTGACCTTTGCATCATCACCACAGTCTCCGCCACCGAGGTTATATTAATTTTTAACGAGATGTTCTTCTACTAAAAGATTGTGAATTTTAATGACTACGCAAGAACTAACGCAAGTCTATTTCTGGTAGTTGTTGGAGGAGCTGAGCGTTGCCAAGTACGAAAACGTGACCAAGTGGTTGGAAAGGTGCAAGAGCACCATCAAGGGTTACGCCGAGCATAACCAGCCAGGCATCGACGCGCTCAAAGACGCCATGGCCAAGGGAATTTGAATATCCAGACTACACCATCAAAGAAAATTTTTGTTAGATTTATTTTTCACGTGCAGAAAATACACACACTGATAACTGATGTTTCCACTTCTGGTGCCGAATTTTTCATTTTCTCTGTCAAATTTTTTTTTATAACCCTTTGCAAAATTAAATGTGACAAAATAAATTTTGCAAAAAAGATAGAAGTTTTGTTTGTGCAGAATTGTTTTTCATTTTTCTTTATAGTTTTGTTTTATGTATTATTTTTAATTAGGGAGCATCGCCAAATTTCTCCTAAAGATAAGAAAAATTAGTTTCTAGTCAAATATCTACAAAGTAAAGTTTTTTACTTTTCAAAGCATGAGGCGTCGATAGACGGGGACGTTGGGCTCGGCCTGCTCTTCGCCGAGCATCTGCGCCAACGAGTACACGTCACCCTTTATCAATTTTTTTATTATTGCAACAATAATTCAGAATAGATATTGGTTGAAACAAACCTGTGAAACGGGGGAACGCTTGGCGAGGAGGAAGCGTTTGCGCTGCTGCGGGGCAAAAGCGCCCCAGCGTCCCTCGTCGCGCTTGTGGTAGCTAGGCAGGATGGGCAGCAACCCGCCTGGCGAGCGCCGCATCACGGTGAACCGCTCTGGCACTACGTACTCGCCTTCGCTCCAGCCTTAGGATAAAATATATTTTAACATATTTCTTTTCAAAACAATTATTTTAGTTTTTTATTTTATAATAAAATACATGAATATTAGATAAAATAAGCGTAAAAGAATAATTTGTTTTTTATTTTCGTTTTACACTTTCCAAATAAAATTAATTTTATGTATGGAATCATATCTTCATATCTGCTAAATTATATTTTAATTAGATAAGGGAAATAACCGGAAATTCTGTGAATGAAGTTATAATGGGTGAAATTAAAATGAAACTAATTTTGATTAACGTTCTTACTGGTGTAGCGAGGGTAGGGCTCCGGCTCCTCGTCCGCGGGCAGCACAATCTCCGGCTCTTCCTCCTGCGGCTCCAGGTTTTCCAAAGCCTGCTCATAAAGGTGCTGCTGCGTTGGCGGCTGCGGATACGCCTCCCTCAGGCTGTTCAACAGACTTCGCATGTTTCTTAATTAAAAATAAAATGCCGAGCCTCTCTCCTCTTTGCAAAAGTGTGCGAAGTACCTGAGATCGTCACGGTTGGCAGCCGAAGCCCAAAGGGCTAGTAAGGCCAGGGCGTCATCGTCAGCGTTTGATTCGCGCTTGTTGCGACTCATCAGGCTTCGCATCGGGTTGCTGCGAACATGAATTTTTAAGAGACACTTCTCTATTGAAATGTTTCTGCAAATTTATGTCGTCGCCCGTCGGAAAAGGCATTTTGATGGGAGGCCTCCTGCTGTAAGTGGGAAAGTGCAAAGATGTTTCTTCACTATGTGTAGAAGTAAGTGGCGTTGCCAGGCAACGAGGTATTCCTAAGGGACTGTCAGGGACAAGAGTGGAATTTCTAAGGAAAAACTATATTGATTAAGTTTTAATAATATATTGTATTGACTAGAAAATTGTTTTATTTTTATTTGCTTCTAAAACCATCAATTTTCTTAACTTTTGTCTTTTAGGAGAGAAATAAATCAAGTTTTCTTTTCTTTATTGTTCTAACCCTAAAAAATTCAACATCAAGTTTTCTTTTATTTCAGTTTTGTAATTAGCTGAACTGACACAAACTGCTACACCCAATTAACTATGCTTAATAAGAGAGTCTAAAAGGGTGATAAAATGCTCCCATTATGTCCTAACTTACAATGGAAAGCTTTTGTCGTGAAAGTGCGGCTCAGAAAATATATACGTATACTTCATGAGAGACCGCTGTAATTTTGTGTAGCAAAAATTTAACATTTCCACCTCGAGGAAAGCCGCTGCGGCCGCAGCTAGTCTTGCACATTAAATTTCAAGGGCCGATAAGACTCCAAAGATTGCAAAATAATGATTTTTTTATTTTTCAGTAAGATTAGAAGTTTAATTCAAAGTATACGCGACGCTTTTTTTGTGATTGGTGTCGGGCAGGTTGCATAGTTGGTCCACCGGTAGGCGCTCGCATGCTTTTTGCGCGACACAATACCAGCAGTAGCAACAGGTCCGATCAATAGACCTGCCATGCCCCAGGCAACTATGACTATTTGCTAAACTCGTATTGCAACATGGTGCTATTTAATAGCACTCTGATAAAAAAGAGAGATTACTTTAGTTAATAAGCTAGTTATTTTATTTCTAATTTCACCGCATACAAAATTTAAAAAAGGCCAATTTGTTTGATATAATTTCTGCATCTAAAAAGTAGACGCAAAAGTTTATGTTTTCTAAATATGCGTCAGATTAAAAAGATCTTATGTTGATTACATTACCTTCTTTTTATGGGCGTCCGCACAAATCGGGCGTTTGACCTGCGCCTGTCGCCTACCGGAAAGTAAGGCATCTCGCCGCCGGCTGCGAACATGACCATTATTCGCGAATGACAAACAAAAAATGGTTGAAAAAAATGATTTGCATACGCGGATCAGAGAAGAGCTGCTCCACAAAGCCGCCGGACCGTTTGTGCAGGGGCGACAAATGCTGCTGCTGCCTCTGCTGATTATGCGTGTTGCCGATTACCTGCTTAACAGGGGCCACAGTCGACGACACAGTCATACTAGAACCTTCGGCACCTGTCCAGATAAAATCAAAACATTTTTCGATTATAAAAAAAACAGCGTTTGATTTTAGTTTTCTTGAAAAGCTTCGTCAGTAAAATATTTTGCTTCTTACTAATCTTTTTATTTACAAGCTTTTTTGTCAGTGTAATTTGAATTAAATATATTAATTAAATCTATTTATGTGCAAAGATTGCATAAATAATCTTAATTTGATTCTGAAGTCTGTAGAAAGTGTATTACTAATAATTTATTAACACAAGATCAATAAAATTAAGAACTTATTTTTTTAAATTTATGAACACAAAAAATTAATAAATTCTAGTTTCTTCTGTTTGTAATTTTTATCTGAGAAAAATTTTGAACAATGTGAGTGTCAGTTATAACTATAAATAATCAAAAATAATTAATAAATTTTCATCTATCATCTATCAATTAGCGTTTCACAAGAAATTAAAGGAAACACTTAAAATTAAAAGTAATAAATATATGATTGTGCTTTTCTGCGACTCAATCAAAGACTTTTGCACAAGGTTACCAAAGGAAGGCGTAAACAAGCAGACGTGTTGTGTGCAAATCGAGCAATTATTTCTCTAGTCAAAGTAGGAAAGAAAGAGGCAGGTAATTGGGAGCTGCGCGCTGCGTTTCCATGACGACCCACCGGACGAGAAGAAAAATTGTGAGGAAATAGCAAAGTTTGCATATGTATATGTGCGTCCCAGACAGGCTTGACGTCAATCGCAAAAGTCGATTATATAGTGTGTTTTTTTTTTCACCTTTATGCTGATGTTCATGGTTCTCTTGGTCAGGCTTGGCGGTCGGGCTGGCGGAGGCCGCGACCAAGATGACCAGCATCATCACGCCACTTGAGGGTCCCATCGTTTATTGCTCTTTGCTGCAAATTTTAATAAATAAAAATTAAAATTTAAGCTTTTTTTTCTCCTAGCAAATAATAAAATGTGTCAGGCAGCAACAGCAACTGGTTTAGCAAACAAAAGCACGCAGGTCAAGGACGCGTGAGAGTGCCTGCTACGTAATCGCTACCAACTCGCTCCAAAAACAAAAAGGGAATCTGCCCTCTACACGAATAATTAATCTGTGCGTGACAGAACACGAATTTTATTGCTAAATCAGCCATTAGACTAATGAAGAACTTTCTAGAACCAATATTGAAATGCGGCAGTCAAAAGCAAAAATATTTTGATAAAATTAAGGACTATATCGGTTTGAAATTGGATTGAAAAATTGACAACGGAAATTTGTGAAACATAAAAATTGTTGCAAGGGTACAGGTAGGTTAGAACGATTGAGGCTTACCTGCCTGCGAGGAGAACAGGTTATCTCCTTGTGTGCGGTCGCGGGAGCTGAGCACCGCTCTTACAGGTGATCAATGACCCAGCCAGGGGCGAGGGCGCATGACTGCGCGCTCACCCTCACACCTACGCACCCTTATCATATCTCTTTTAGTACCAAGTCTGTCCGCCAACAGGCATAAAAAATGATATGTACAAAAGGCAGTATATTATTTGTTATATTTCAATAGTAAAATTTATTCGAGTTGCATTTTAAAATTAATTTGTTCATAAATAAGCCATGGTTACAATTATAGGAATAAAAGACTTTTGATCGTTTTGAATCACAGAAGCGTTGGGTCGTTGGAGAGGGCCAACTGGGCCAAGTACTTGACGATGGCAGCATCGCAGCCGTGCAGGCCAAGTTCAATGAGACAAGTGACGCCTACCGTCCTGCATACTGACACCTTCTGGTCGATGGCAGACAGCAAAGCATGCAGCACCAGACAAAGACTCTGGTCACTCTTGTGCAGAGCCACCAAACTGGGCTGCAGCCCGCTCAAAAGGGAGCCGGAATACGCAGGGCCCAGAAGTTGCTTCGAGCCCAACTCCAAAATCGTCACACGATTCTGGGAATTAAAAATAGAACTTTATTGTAAATTAAATCAATCCAAACTTAATGTTAATGGAAATGTAAATATTCCAGTGCTTCTCCGTTGTTAAATTACTTAAAAAAAAAAAAAACGATTTTGAGCGCAGAGATTTACGCAAGTTACAAAATTTGAGATTTATTATTTTAATGATTTTGAGAAAAAACACCCAGAGGGAAGAACAATATTGTATCGTTTAAAATTTATAAACAAATCACCTTGTCGAGGCTGTTTATCATGTCGTGCACAGTCAGTCTTTCAGGCACGCACAGGCCAATCAGCTTGTGCTGGTCAAGATGGAATGAAACCAGAATTCCTTGGTGCCACCTAAAAAATAATGAAATTACTATTTAAAAATTAACGCATTAAAAAAATTGTTATGACAGCAGCTACCTTAGTACGCTCTTGGTATTTCTGCGGGGGACGAATGGGGCCAGCGCCTGGGTTATCTCGACGGCATATGCCTTCTCATGCTTGGCCGCTGCTAAAACCACAGTCCTCCCAGTGAGAAGGGAGTAAATCACATGACGAGCGGCGGCGGAGTATTTAGTAAAAAAGTCCAAAAGGCCGAGACCTAAAATACAGATTATGAAATTCTTAATTTAGCTTTAAAATAAATGTCCTTGATTTTAGGTGTAAAATTAGATAATGGTTTCAAAAATGACTTAAAGAGTAACCTGATTTTGTGTTGGCAGGAAATTCACTCCACAAACAGTCGGTTTGGAATTTTTCAGCTGCATTATCATTCAGTGACCAGTCTGAAAGATTCCTGTCCAGATCTCTGAAGCTGTCCGAACCCGATGAGCTGAGCAGGGAGGGTTTGGCCGAGTGAAAGCTGCAGTTACTGTCACTGCTGCTCAACTCCTTGTGCTGAAATTCAAATGAATATTCGGCTCAAAAAATTGGTACGCAGAATTTACGTTGTCCAAAATGAGTGAGTTTTGGTCGATGGTGCACTCCTTTGGGTCTGTGATGTTGGAGAGCAGTTTCAGGAAATTGGCGTCATCCAGCGCCAGGTTGATACCTCGGAAGGTGAGTTGACGAGGACGGATGGCCTGGTTGAAGGTAGTCGCCACCAGGTCAAGGTCGACGCCAAGTGAGCACCTGGCAAAAAAGTGGTGCAGGTCGATGAGGTGCCACAAACCTGCAGCACAGCCCCACGGACTGATGCAAACCACGGGCCTGATGAAGCGGGCCCTCTTGGAGCCACTCAGGTTGCAAGGTACCTTTGCAGAGTGGCACTCCAACTTCTGCAGCAACCTCTTCGCCTCCAGTAAATCAGAATTCTTAATTGCAGCACACCAGTCTTTCAACTCCATCATTTGCTGCTCTTTGTTCTAGAAAAAAATCAAAGCATTGGTTTATTTTCTGCCATAAAAAATTATTAAAATATGATACACTAATTTTAGTGCATTAGAATTAATGTTAATAATAATTATTATTTAAGATTTCTTTTTGTATATAAAGCCTAAACAAATTAGGAATTAAGTTCTGCCACTTACCAAGGAGGGTTCAACTGTATGCAGCAGGTTTTTTAATTCGGAATAATGGTTGACCAGTTGTTCAATGTCAATAGATTGCAGCAACTGTTTTGACTCAGTACTCAGAATTTCTCTTTCGTCCTCCATCTGGTATTTAAAAAATTACTTACAATATTAGTTAAAATTTAAATGAAACAAATTAATATAAACCTTTTTCAGTCTAAAATACTGCTCTTGCGTGGAGCGCAGGCAGTGCAATGCATGCTTGATATCTTCTAGGAAAATTTGTCTGTTGTCCAATTTGATCAATTCTGTTACCTAAAAATATTAAGATAAAAGTATTAAAATTGTGGTCTGTTTAATTTTTTGAATTGAAGATTATTACTTTTACTGGCATAAATATTGACATAATATTTTTAAATAATCTTAAAATACAAATTTGATTGCAATTTTCTCTACTTTTTTGCTTTAGTTACCAAAACGCACCTTCAGGAAAGCCTCCCTGAGCTGAAGGAACTGTCCCTCGAGTTTTTTCTTGTCCCTGGTGACAAAGGCGAGGCACATGGGCCGCACAAAGCCTCTGGCGTGCAGATCGTAGAGCGTGAAGTAGTGGACATAGGCGTGCACCCCAGGCACCACCGGCGTCTGCAGCACCTGCGCATCCTCGGCCAAATTGAACTGCCCGCTGAATGAATCAGAATTTTAGATTTAATGTTTCAACATTTTAATTCATTATTCAATAGACCTAGGGTTGGCCTGGTAGTCGACCGACATGATTTTGAGGATGAAAGCGTTCATGTCCAGTTCAGCTGCCGGCTCGTCGTGTACGTGCGGCGGCACGGTCAGCAAAGGTAGAGGTCCTAACACCTCGGAGAACTCGGAAAAAATCACAAAATCCTCGTGCGCGCAAAAAGTGCACGGGTCCTGCAACAACCAAATGAGAAAAATAATCCAAAATTAAGCCTCATGAAACTTAATGCAGTGCGTTTTAATTATAAAGGTTTGAAGTGACATCTAATAATAGGCCTAATCAAAGATCAAAGTACAAATCAGTACTTTCCTATGCGCCTTTATTCTAGTTGATCCTAATCATAAAAAATTATTACACTTTTCAGTTCAGAATAAAATTTCCCTCAAGAATTAAATTATTTATAAATAAAAAAATTCATATTAATTATTCTTTTAAATTTTATTTTCTGTTAGATTCAATTAATATTTGTTTGTTTTTAAAGTGGTTTTGACTAAAATTCTAGGCATAGGAATATGGTTGATATTGTAGTAAGTCTTATTATAAGCATCCTAACTACGCTTAACTTCGAAAGCCCTCTTGGACATCTTCCAGAATTACTTAAAACTAATTACATGTATGAATTTGATTTTTAAAACAAAAACCAATTGATGTTGTTCCTATCTTTTTTAATCAATCCAGCAATTTACAAGTCTTAATAAATTAACTGTAAGTCGTAGTTAAATAATAAAAAAATGCAACAAATTGGTTTAGGAGGACACATCTGTTGGCTCATTATATTAGGTGGGGTGAGCAGAGGAAAAAAAATAAAATAAATTAGCAGGCAGCGTCATAGTCCTTTTTGATCTCGGCGTCAGGGTAGAAGTGGAGGAGTTTGGCAATGACCGCGTCCTGGATGAGGTCGACGGCCTCCGGAGGGGTGTAGTCGTCCTCACTTGATCTGGCCAGGGTGACGAAGGTGGGTGGCGACGGCAGGGCCCTGAGAACGGCGCTCAGGGAGCGTTCTACGAGCTCGGCAATTTGCTCGTCAGAGGAGACGTGGTGCGGCAGGTCATTGCCATTGTCCAGAGTGCAACCTGCGTCGTGGACAATCTCCCAGTCCAGGGAGAGACGCTCTTCGTCTAAAGGGTAGGCGGCGTGCACCGAGTTGACCAACTCCTTGACTGCCTTGACCCTGGCCGAGTCAATGGGGAGTCCCTCGAGGGACCCGCCACGCTGGTTGACGTGTCTGAAGATGGTGGACAGTTCTTCCAACTGAGCCTCCCTTCTCTGGGCCATCTCCTCCGCCTCCTCAGGTACGGAAGGTGTAGTGTAGGCGTACAGGGGGGCCAACCGTTTGTACAACTCGGCCCTGGGGAACATGTCGACGAAAGGGTTCTTGGTGCTGAAGAAGTCGAGGTCAACGTCCAGGACGAAGTAGGCGCCCTGGCTGTCCGAGGGAACCAGTTGCCTCAGGTGCCTCTCAAGGGCCACCTCGTCATCCTCGGGCCCTTCGTCCTGGACGTACTGACCCAGGGTCAGCGTGACCAGACGCACTTCCCTGACAGCCTCCAGCTGCTCCAGGGGCGCAAACATGGCAGACCCGAGGAAGTACTGCTCGGCCGAGTCAACTCGGATTTCGCCCGATTGGTTGTGGCGGCCGACGCGGAAGTCCAGGACGCCGTCTGGGAACTGCTTTGACCAGGGCGGACGCAGCCACAGGATGTTACGGAAGTGTCCGGCGAAACAGGCGGGCAGCAGCCACGACTCAATGCTGATGTGTCCAAAGAGGGCCTCCTTGTCGAACACCGTGTCTGCAGGCATGCTGGGCGGTACGCCTAGGTCAGGGTGCGAATCCAGGTGAACGATGGTGTTGCCCTCGAGCGGCAGGTGGCGCGATCCCATCGCCCTGTAAAGGTGCGGCACCACCTCGTTGTGGTTCTCGACGACCAACACCGGCAACTGTCCGTACCGTCGCCGCGGCTGCTCCTCCATAATAAATTTTCAAATCAAAATTCACAAAGCAGACACGAAATTAAGAAGTTCCAGACTGTACTTTATGTCCTGTACCAATTTCTTTTCTTTCTTTCTCAATAAGGGGAGGAGACGGGAAAAAGAATACGCACCTTGGGGTCGAGCGCGTGCGTGGCCGCCGTCGCGGGGCTATTTTCGGACGGGTCGTCCCCGCCGACCACGAGCGCCTCCTCGGCCGCGTCCACCAGCAGCGTCGCTTCCGTGTACGTGCTCGCCATCGCTCCTCCCAGCAGATTAATTTACCAGCGATTTAACTTGTACCCTTTCGTTGTGTGTAACTTGTGATTCTGCCAAACGCTTTCTAATTTCAGCACTGCCGGCTCGCTCGTCCCTGCAAGAAAATTTAATTTTCCTCTGAAATTTCACAATTCTTTAATTTAATCTAACCCTTTTCCACGGCCCGACGACGGCGCGACTAAAATTAGATCAAACGCGCGCTCCTCTTCCGTGTTTGTTTGGGTTCCGTTGTGTCTTTTGTGTTTTTGATTACAAAAGGCAAAATCACGTGTATTCAAGCGCAGCCTCCAGATTTGACAAGTCTTTACCAACCACACAAATTTATGCAGAAATTTAATATACTATCATTTAACTGTTCTCTACTCCACTTTACTCCTAAAATTAATCTAATTTTATTTAAAATTTTAATAAATGATTGAAAAAATTCTTTTGTCAAGCACAAATAATAAGAAAAACTATTTAATTTTATTTTTCTGTATAATTAGTTGGCAATCCGGACCATTATGCCTTTGCTTTTCTCTCCCGTCAGCGATAAACAGTTCAGTCACTGTTACCAAGGTGAGTGGAGGGGCGCCTTTTTGGCAGGAACTTCAAGATTATAGTTATTATATTGTATATCATATTATGTACCATAAAATAATTATTTAATATTTTTGGCAAAATTATTAAACTATTTTTTTCAAAAAATTTTGAATAAATAATTTTATTAAAAAAATCATAAAAAAACACGGCCATTTGAATTTTACAAATCTTAATTTTTGCGCGCCGTTAATGATTATAATAGAAAGCTTGAATAATATTTTTCGTATTATCCTCTTGGATGGAAAAAAAATACTTTGGAACCGTGGGAAAATATTTTTTTTATTGATTTTCAGCTGTCAGTACACATTAAAGCACATTAAAGTATATTCCTTCGTACATTTAATTTATATTTTTCGATTTTTTCCTAACCGCCCGCCCCTTATGAAAGATTTACATTTTAGTCGGTCGGCTGCCGCTGTTGAAAAAACGACGCTCTTTTTATCACTGCCTTTGTCCGTGTGTGTTAAAAGCAGGCGCAGGTGAATGTAAATACGAGGAGCAAAGAGAAGGTCTCGCAGCCCTACACCGAGGTAACTTTGGAGGACACTCGACAGTGTGTGTCTGCTTTTACTTTCGTTTGTCGCAGTGGATAGCACCCTAGCTGACCAGTGCATGTTTCATTTTGTTCCAGTGTTTCGAAAATTAAAGACAGATAAGCGATGGCCGGCAAAGCAAAAAGGTTGATTGACGTCCGACGAGCGTTGAAAGGTACGTTAATTGGACGAAAGTGAAAGCCTTTTGAAAATTTGCGGCTTGCAGTTGAGGCGTTGGCCCTGCTGAGGTGAGGCCTGCAGAACATGGTGAAGAAGAAAAAGGAGAGCTCGACCGAGTCAATGAGCACCCCTACGTATACGGAGCTCCACCAGGTACACAAAAACCAACCCTGAAAAAATTAAAGAGACCGACCTGACGATGAACTAATTTCAGTACAATGGGGAGCAGAGCAGCTGCGAGCTGGGCAACTTTGTGATAAAGCAGGAGCCGTACGACATTTGGCCTCAGGAGGTGAAGCGCGAGCATGAGCACCCTGACATCCCTGGCCTGGTGACCAGCGACGACGAGCAGCTGGCGACCTCCTACCACCAGCAGTTGATGGCGGCGGCCTCGTCCTTTGCGCCTTCGCCCGGCCAGGCCCAACAGTTGGGCGGCCCTGAGCAGCTTTCGGAGCAGCAGCGGCCCTTCGAGTGCCAGGTGTGTGGAAAGAAGTTCATGCGAAAGTGCCACCTGCAGGTGCACCAGGTCGTGCAGAACTAACTCGCACCCTTCGACCTTGAGTCTAATTCTATTCTCCTCCTGATTCCTCCTGCAGGTGAACCACTCTGGCGAAAAACCCTTTTCCTGCTCGGTGTGCCAGCGCAGCTTTTCGCAAAAGTCCACCCTGTTTTCGCACTCGCTCACTCACTCGGGCGTCAAACCCTTCGAGTGCAACGTGTGCAGAAAGGCGTTCGCCCAAAAGTGCAATCTGCAGACGCACATGTTGGTGCACACCGGCCAGAAACCATTTACCTGCAAGGTGTGCGGAAAGTGCTTCTCCCAGAAGTGCAACCTCCAGATCCACGAACGCATCCACACTGGCGAGCGACCCTACACATGCAAGGTAACGATCTTAAACAGTTAGTTGAACTACAAAATTATTTAATAAAGATTTTTGGCTTTTGGGGCCAATCTATAATATGTAAATACAATTTTTGTGCTTTTAATCCAAAGAATAATTTTAAAAGAAACAAAGTCCTGAAACAATTGTGAAGTTTATATTACCTTTGATACATGACACATGACTTCCAAATTAGTAAGCTTTTTGGAAATGTACTACAAAGACTGGTTGAAGTTGTTATTAAAATAAAAACCATAAATTAAACACGCAAAATCAATTGAATATGTACAAAAATTTTAATTTGCAATATAAAAAAAAAATGAAAGTGGCCAAATCATGAAATAGGATTGAATTTATTTTGTATTTTGAAAATTAAAACTGCCTTGTTTTACCTAGATATGTAATTTTTTTTAATTAGGCCATTTAGGATTGGTTCTTATTAAAATTCTATCCCTAATCCTTGGATACAAGTCAAAGTAAAGATATTTAGGTCTAATTGTAAAATGTAATACTCTTATCTACATTATAATTTTTTTGTTGCGCAGGTGTGCGGCAAGTGCTTCACCCGTTCTGGCACGCTGATGGTGCACAACCGGGTGCACACCAAGGAGAAGCCGCACATCTGTAAGGTGTGCGGCAAGCGCTTTTCGCAGAGCAGCAACCTGATGAACCACAGCCTGACCCACACCAGCAGCCGACCGTTCGAGTGCCGCGAGTGCGGCCAGGCCTTCAACAACACCGGCAACCTCAGCCACCACGTGCGCAAGTGCCACCCGGCCTCCTCGTGAGTGACAATCAACCCCAACACAACTCGATTATTCCATGTGCCATTCACTAATTTTAGAGTTTGAAATTTTGATCTCGGATTCGGACCTGTGGTTGAATATTTCCCAAAAGTATAAATTTGTCTTCAGCCACCCAATGATATTTTTTCTGAAAGAAAGTGAAAATGCTGGGTGCTAAATGAAAGAATGTTGAAAGTTATAATTATTATATATTATTCCAAGTAGCTGCCTTAAAAACGACTAATCCTGCAAAGGCCCTCAATAAGAAACTGTACAAAAACCGCGGCGAGGTGAATTATTTCAAAGATTCCTTCGAACCCTTTTACTCCTGTGCTGTATATAGTTGAAAGCGGTTGAAAGTGTATCAAGCTAAAATTAACCCCCGCGAATTGAAATATATTTAACAGATTTACACCTAGAGCATTTAATTAACAATTAATTAAGAGAATTAAAACTTGCAACCCTCTCTTGTTGGCGTAGTGGGTGAGGGTGAGACGCATTCCTCTCTTTGTCTCGTCTTGATTTATAATTTTTTTTCGTTGGCAATCGATTTTCCATCCCAACGCATATCTCGGTGTACAACTGTCCTTCTGTGATTACTAGCCATATGCAAACAAATTGCAATAAATAATTAGAGCTGGAAAAAAGCAAATTTTTGTGTCTTGCTCATTTGTCAACTACCTAGCCACTTTTCTCCTTTTGATGATCGTTATGCTACCCAATATTATGTTTTCTTCTTCTTACAAAACTCAAAATGATAAAATAAAAGAAATATCATCTAGACGATTTCAATAAAATTGCCTCTCAACTTTTGCATAATATGACTGGGTCTCCTTTGAGCGAGTTGCTCTAAAGAGCTTTGGTTTCCCTATATATGGTGCCCTTTATCAAGTCGCAATTAGCTAAGCCTCCATAATTGTCTTGAATCCGAAAGGTAAATTTTAATATTTTAAGGTGTGAAACAAATTTTTTTTTGCAAAACTTTTATAATATTCGTATTTTTTTTTAATTAAACGCCGCAGTCGTACAAATACCTAATATTAATAATAATAATTACCAATTACCCTAAAAAGAAATAAAAAATCTTTCAAATTATTTATACGATTTTTTTTTTTGTTGTTTCTAGATACTATTATGGCTACATTTTTCCCCGCAGAATTTGCATATATTAGACAGTTTTCAGCTTCAAAATGATAAGGGCTATTTATTTTTACAATATACCCGCCATAAAATTACATTTTTTGCATTTTAAAATGTGTTTATTTAACCTAATTATTCATAAATGACAAGTTTTGAAGTACAGCATTTATTTACAGGATTTTATTTAAGTTCAAATTATATAAATTATAATCGACAATATTAATTCCGAAATGTATATGAGTTTTTTTTTAATTTAATAATAATGCTTTTATTAAACGCGTTTGCGTTAAAAAATTTATTTTTCCCCTCCTCCTCATGCCCGCTACTTGGCCGCTACTACCGCCAGAGGCGCACATGTACAACAGTTCTGCGAAATATTTTGCGATGGGAGTGCCGCACAGCGCACAACGCAAAAGACAAAGACAGAACAGACGGAAGCAAATAACTGTAGTAAACAAACTTCCCATCTTTTTTAGTGATAGAAATGATTCACAAACTCAGGAATGACAGCACCAATTTGCGACGCGGGGGCTGTCAGTAAGAGTCGTTGCAACAGGAGATTATGCATTATTATTTTCTAAGAGATTTTATGTGATTTTTTTCAACTTCAACAGAAGTCAAAAGCTGCAAATTACTCATTGGTAAGCAGTGTTCCATAATTAGCATAATTATAGAGGCGTGAATTTGTTCTAGGTGAAAATTCATATTCTTGTCAGTTTGATTTGAAATATTTAATAGTAACTATCATAAATAATATATTGTATGGGTACATACCACTTTTCCTGCCATCAGAAACATTAATTATTCATAAAAATATCAAAGTCAAGAGAGATTTATTATGAAAATAATTATGTATAATGTACAGTATATAATTATTATTTTTTTTTTTTTTTTTAAATAAAAGCTTAGCGGTGAAAAGTTGTCGTGATTCGTGATGCATTGAAGTATATAAAACATAAAATATTAAAGAAAAATGAAAGTTAATTATATGGGGGTTATAAAAAGTTCGCAATAAATATTTTTCCCAAAAAATTATTCTTTCGGAAAAAAGTTAAGTTTTTTTTATATTATGTTATATTTTTGTATGTTTCATATAAAATTTTACAAATAACACCATTTTTATAGAAAATTTGTTGAAACTTTTGCCATAGGTTTTGACATAAACTCAAAAAATTCAATGAAGTTGCGCGCACTCTCTTAATTATTATCATTAAAATGCTATGTAATAAAAAATTGATTAAAATTACGTCTACAATTTTTTTTTACTCAAACGTGCACAAGTTTGAGCATACATGCCATATGTTTTACATTTTATAAAGTTAAAGTGAAGCTTCTCAAATCTTAATCACTAAACAATTTTTTTTTTATTTCAGTAACATTAACATTGACTTTGATTTGATGACAGAGGGTCCAAAGAGATTTAAGATGTTTGCCTCATACCAGCTCTTGATCTCTTGTTTTTTGTGAAGAGGAAAATCTCACGTTACGACGAGATGACCGGCTTAGAAAAATTTCAGATTTTCTTCGAACTTGTCCCGCCCATTTTTTACGGTGGACAAACCTTGAATGCCAAAGTCGTGGTTGTCAACAGCAAGCCCATACAAATGAAAGGTCAGTTTTTTTTTGCAAAATTCATATTTGATGACAAATTTTTTTTATTAACTATTGTAATTATTCACTAACAAGTTTTTTGCCTTTACAGCTTTTTATATCAGGGTCAAAGGTAGGTGCAAAATGAGATCGCAAAGTTGGAGGCTGGAGAGTTCAGAAGTGGACAGTTTGATACCCAACTTCAGAAACGCACCTTCGAACAATGACAGGAGGAATCTTAAAGGTTACAATGACTCTGAAGACTACATTAACGACCAATTTGCTATTTTTGGATGGGGTATGTAATCAAAATTGGCACAAATTCATAACCGAGATATTCAAAATTTGTAACAAAATTTTTATTCAGGCAACGACGGAACTCTAGAGCCTGGCGAGTACTCCTTTCCCTTCACCTACACCCTGCCGATGAATCTACCTTCATCTTTTGAGACAAAATTCGGCTGCATCAGGTACACTCTGATGGCCGAGATGCACCAACCTTGGACAGTGGTCAACCACAAGGCCAGAGCGTTCTTTGCCATCATCTGCCCCTTGGACTTGAACTCTTTTCCTCAATTGACAGTAGGCATTATTGATTTTGTTTTTTAAATTTTTTTTATACCTGAGCAATCAAGTTACAAAAGTTACCGTTGTATGACGCTTCAGTGTTGATTATACAACCTACTAGATTTTGTAATTAAAAATGCTTTTAGGATCCCGTGACAAAGGAAATTGCCAAGAAGCTTTGCTGTTTGTGTTGTGCCTCTGGTCCTATCAACATTATTCTCTCCCTCCCTGTCGGGGGTGCAGTCCCCGGAGAAACCATTTTGCCTACTTTGGAAGTGGAAAACAACTCCGGAGTCGACCTCATCTTTATCTCACTCAGATTAACACAAGTACCCTGCTTTCGTCCATCATCTGTTACAAAACATTTGGAATATAAAGTCCGTTTCATTGTAAATTACCAATTTTGAAACTAAGATGTGCAGAAAATTTACAGACGTACATTGTTGAGCATCCATTGGGGCGTCTGGAGTCTGGACAGTATTGCACGTACGAAAGGGTGGCCCTGCGGATTCCTCCTGTGCCGCCCTCTTACTTGCTGCACTGCAAACTCTTTGACCTGGATTATTTTGTTGAGGTAAATACTTTAATTTTAAACAGTAAGATCATAATTTTTAGTATGGACCGTTTCTTAAAAACTTTTTTTGAAAAACTAATCCAAAAATCTAAAAATTCTCAAGATCATCTACGAGTCAGCCAAAAAGTACATCCCCAGAGGTAGAATGAAGTACTACCTACCCTTCTGGAATCCACGACTTGAAGCCATCCGCCTCAAACGTAACTCAGCAAGGAAAGCAGTGGAAAAAACAAATACTAGTCAACTTAGAGAAGAGCTCAAGCAGCTGCAAACTGATCTAACTGCAGCAATCACTGAAGAAAAGGACAAGAAGTACAGAGAATTTCTGAGTAACCTAGACTACAGAAAAGATGCCTCCAAAGTGCATACATTCTTCTCCCAACTATGTGGCAAAAAATCAAGTAGCGCAGAAGATAATACACCCCTCGAGTACAAAGGGAAATCTGCTGTCACGAACAAGGAGAAGGCTGAAATCCTCTGTCGTTATTTCAAGTCCGTCAGCACCCCTCTAAGGAAAAAGAAGAAAAAGCTCCCTAAAATTAAATACCAACATCAACCCAATGACTTTTATAATCGACCCTTCAATAGTGAAGAACTTAACTACGCTATCAACAAGCTGGATAATAAAAAAGCTCCTGGACCAGATGGAATCCATGTAGAATTCATCAAGCACCTCGGTCCTATTGCCAGAGGACATGTCCTCAACCTGGTCAACGCCTCATGGAATTGCCAAGTCCCCACCAGCTGGAAAGAAGCCCTCATCACACCTATCCTGAAACCAGAAAAAGATCCGAACAACCCTAAAAGTTACAGACCCATCGCCCTCACCAATACTTTTGCCAAGGTAGCGGAAAAAATGGTCAATCTCCGGCTGGAAAACTTCCTTGAAAGCAGCAAAATAATAGCAGACGAACAAGCTGGCTATCGAGAACACCGGGGCACCCTCGACCAAGTCGCCTACGTCGCCCAGGACATCAAGCAGGGCTTCAGTGAAGGCAAAAGTACCCTAGCCGCCTCCATTGATCTCTCAGGCGCCTTTGACTCTACGGACCGCCGCTTTGCAATTAAACAAATGCTGAACTACAAAGTCCCCAACAATATAGTAAGATGGCTGCACGACTTCATAAACGGAAGAAGCATCAAAGTCATCCACAAAGGACACAGAAGCAGGACTAGAAAAACAGCAGCAGGCGTAGCACAAGGCACCATCACGGCACCAACCACCTTTAAAATCGCCATTAATGAATTAATTTTCGTTCTCAAGACAATCCAAGGGCTGAAAATTAAGGTCTACGCCGATGACTTTATTCTCCTCCTCACAAGTAAATGCCCTGCAAATATGGAGCTAAAAATGTCTCTCGCCCTTCGTATTGCCAACTCATGGCTTAACGTTAGAGGCTTCAAGATCAATGAGACGAAAACCTTCTGCACCTACTACACAATGACTCTCTGCAAGTACTACTTCAACATCAAAGTGAACGACAAAAAAATCCAACAAACTGACCAGATGAAGTATCTCGGAGTGCAAATGGACAGTAAAATGACCGGAAGGCAGCACTTCGAAGAACAAGCAGAGAAAGGCAGAAAAAGGCTCAGGCTCCTACAACGTACCGCAGGATCCAGCTGGGGCGCTAAAATTGACACCCTCGCCCTCACCTATAAAACCTACGTCCGCCCAGTGCTGGAGTATGGAACTGAAATCTTCCCAGCAGCATCACAACCAATCAGTAGTCTCCTTGATAAAGTTCAAAACCAGGCTCTTCGTCTGATCACAGGCGGTGTCAAAACAACACCCATTGATGCCATGGAATGGTTTAGCCAGATTGAACCTTTGCGACTCCGACGAGAACAGAGAGCTATTCAGTTACATGAGAAGCTTCTCCGACTTGATTCCGAGTTCTGGCAAAACCACAACAACTCAAAGAAACCTGCCCACGCGAACTTTGTAGAAATCACCACCAAACTCAAAGAGAAACACTGCCCTGACCTTCTCCATGCACAGCGACAAAACTTCGAAACACCTTCACCATTTAACATGCCGGACGTTTCCAACCAACTTGAGCCAGCACTTCAAATAGAAGGAGTAGAAAAGAAGAGCAATCTGCAAGTGACTGAACTCCAAAAGAAAACGGACGCGCACCTGAAGAGTAATTTTCCTCTTTCTGAGTGGATTCATATTTACACAGATGGCTCACAAGACAACTCGACGCAAAGAGCAGGCTACGGTGTATACTGCATCTTCTTCGAGGAGTCCACCCCTCTGCCTGAAGGTGCTAATCACTTCGACGCTGAGACAGCAGCTATTGCACGAGCAGCACAAAAAGTAGCCGAACAAGATCGGTTTCCACTAAACAAGAAAAAATTTGTCATCCTCAGCGACAGCACGTCCGCAATCCAATTTGTATGTCAACCTGCAAACCTACATCCGGATTCGCTCCTTTTTAAAAACTCCCTAGTAAGACTACGAAAAAAGAACCATGAACTGGCCCTACAATGGATCCCTAGCCACTGCCAAATCCTAGGGAATGATAAAGCTGACTTTCTTGCGAAGGCCGCAACCAAAAAAATCTCACAATTAACAAAGGCCCTCACCTTCAACAACGTCAAGAAAATAATTAAAACAGCTACAAAAAAAATTTTCAAAGAAAGCAAAGAGGAAGCTGCCCGACTAAAAATCTGGTGGACAGAGATAAAGAAGGGCCCCGATAAGTCCTGGTCAAGGAAGACCGCGACCGCTCAGTTTCGGCTGGCCACTGGCCATGATGTCCTGCAGCACCACCTCAATAGATTCAAGATCACAAAGGACTCGGCAACCTGCAAACTTTGTAAATTAGAAAATCAAGACAGAGCGCACCTCTTCAGATGCGCCGCTCTCAAGAGTGATATCGACTCCCTACCAAAGGATCTGAGTAGGACAGAAAAAGAAGCCATTCTATACTGGATAGCAAGAAAAAGAAATAGCTGAAGAAGCTCATCTCTGCATAAGAAAAAAAAAAAAAAAAAATTCTCTGTTGGGTTTTTTAAAACATATGGGCCAATAATATTTAATTTTTTCACAATATTTAATTTTCCCCATCTGTTTGATAATTATATAGAAACTGCTATTTCAGGCATTCTTCCGCCCAGCTGGCGCTCATCGCAATTTTGACGTTCAGATACCTTTAGTTGTGGGCACGACTCCTGTGCACCAGACTTTTGACCACACTCATCCACCCTCGGCGCAAAACTTGACCACTCCAGAACCTCAGATGGACGCAACACCCAGCTACTCTGGCATTGGTGAGCATTTTGTTTGAAAATAAAATATATTGTGCATGTAGATTGCCAATATTTCAAATTCAGCTCCACCGTCTTTTGAGCAATCTGTGATTGGCCACCAAAGTGTTATTAACAATGGTGAAGATGACGAGTATGCCTTAGCAATGAGATCTTCGTACCCCTCTTACCAGTCATCTCGGTCTACTACAGTTCGTAAATAAACTTGTCGTTTACTTCTTATTGTGCCTTCATGATAATATATGTAGCAATTATTTCTTTGTCCTTAAAGGACTGCAGCTACAATTTGTGTTGCACTAACCAAGTGCTTAAAAGTGGAAATCACAATCTGTCATTTTTCTGCCCCCTTTTGGGCTCATTTTAGTTTTATTGCTTGAATAAATTATGGTTAAGCTATGCTTTAGTAAGCTTAAAGCTCGATTTATTTACTTGAGCATATTATTTATATTTAATTTAACATATTTACTCCTAGAGCATGCATTTAACAATTAAGAAATATAACTAACTCTTGCAACTCTTTCTAATTGGCGTTTTGGGTGAGGTTGATACTCGCGCGCATACTTTTTTTCTCGTCTTAATTTTATTAATTTTTTCAATGACGCTAAATGGCTAATCGCGCATTTTCTCGGTGTACTTTTATACTGTGATTAGCCGTGCGCACAAAAATATCAATGAATATAGGAGAGCTGGAAAAAGAACTTATTGTTAACGTCTAATTCATTTATTGACTTCCTCGCCGTTTTCCTCCTTTTTCTGCTCCTGGTCCTGCAACTTCAAAAATATCAATTTTTTCAAAGCTCCTCATTAAGCTAAGCTGTTTGTACCGATTGGACGATTTCGAAATAATGTCTCTCAGCTTCTGCAATCAGAGGGTCTTCAGCGAGTTGCTCAAAAGTGAGCGGTTCGGTAGACGGTCTAATTTGGTTGCCCTGCTGCCGGCCTTCGTCGCCACGAACCTTGCCTTTGAGTCGTTTTTCACGCCGCCGCGCCTCCACGATTTTCTCCCGTCGCGTTTCACGCTCAAGCATCTAATACAAAAATCAAAAAAATTCCAGTTATGTAAAAATTAAAAAATTTTAATTTGTTTAGCTTGAAAAAAAAATGAAACTAAATCATTAAATTTACTGTTTGCACGTAATAAAATTTTTTACAACTCTTTTCTTGTTTTAGGGGCAAAACATAAAAGTGTGTTACTTTTAAAAGTCTCGTTTGAATGTTAATTTGCCAAATAAAAAATTAACAAATAAGCATTTTGAAAGTTTCAAATTTTGAATAAATTAAAAGTTAATTTTATTTTACCTCTGTAAACATTGGTTTGTCGTTTTTGTGTGGCACAACGAGGTGGTCAGACACCTGGTAGAGGTACGTGGCGCCGGTATCGGAGCCGACGGCGAGCAGTTGGCCCTGTTCGTGGGCTCGGATGGATCTGAGCGTGGCGTCGCACACCTTGACGCTGAGCACGGGTCGGTGGCGCTGCTGCAACAAGTCCCACGCATCCAGCCGCCCGTCCTCCCTGGTGGTGTAGAAGGCCGAGAACTTGGTTGGACTCCAGCAGCCATCGGTCAACTGCCACTCGCCCAGACCCGTGCTGATGATGCTCGACTCGCGCACGTCCTCCGACCACACGCGCGCGCTCCAATCGCCCACGCTCAAGAAGTTCTTCACGAACGCAGGGTTCCGCTGCAGCGCGTAAACGGGGCCCAGGTGCGCCGCGTACTGACACACCATCTTCTCCGGTGGTGTCTTTCCCTTCCGGTTGCAATTTATCACCACGCCTAAAAAAATGTTTTGTATTTATTCCAAAAAGATTGATTTATTCAATTAAAAAATTTAAAAAAAAAACATAAATGTTTTAGAATTTTATTTTTTTTACTTACAATTCGAGAAGGCAAAATATTCCTTTTCTAGTTTCAATTTACATAACTTCTTTTTATATTTTGGAATAAAATAATACGTTTTAGTCATCTTTATAAATCAATATAAATTATATTTTTTAATTTGTTAAAATCTTTAGTTTTCAAGAAAATTATAATTTTTTTTTATTATTATCGTTATTATCCTTATATCTTGAAATGCAGGAAAATCTTTACCCATCTCGGTGCCAACCATGAACCTTGTTGGAATAGTAGGTTCATATTCCAGGCTAACAGCGCCCAAAGCCCTGCTCAAGCTCTGCTCCTGACCCTTGACCGGGTCAAGAATGAGCACCTCACTTGGCTCAGACAATTTTCGCGTGTCCCACCACATCACCTAATGAGTTTTAATGATAATTTGATTTTTTTTTTTAATTTAATATTTATACTTGTCCGTCTGTGCTGGCCGAAAAGAACTCAGTGCCCGTCTTGGAGTTCATCCAGAGGGCTTTGTGCACAGGGTCGCGGTGACTTGGCTCGAGAGGACTCATTTCAACCGGTTCTGGTCCCTTGCGTGTGTCCCAACACGCGACTCTTCCGTCATAAAAGCCGCTTACCAAGACGTTGGGGTCTTTCTGATTGTACTCGAGACACACGATCGCCGACGGTGGACGGAAAGTGAGGTCAGGCTGATTTGGCTTTTCTGTAAAAAAATTTAATTGGCCAGGTGTTGTGAAAAAGCTTATTTTCACAAAACCATTGGAGTTAAAGTATTATAAGGAATTATTTTACGTTTTCATTAACTAATTTGAGAAATCTTTAAATAAAATTTTCACTGTAAAATATCTATTTTTGTTAACTGCCCTTATTACTTGAATTAATTTGAATTTAAGTTTGTGCTATTTTTAAAAATTATAATTTTCTAATTCATAATAATTATATTAAATATTCAATAAAATTGTTTTTAAATCAACTAAGTTGTAGGGGACCAAAATAACGTAAATATTGCATTCTTTTTTTTAACTAACCCACGTGCCAAATGTATGTTTGGCTGCTGAGCTCAGAGTGGCTGGCGTGCTGGAAAGCCAGACTGCAATGGGAAACGGCGAGTCGCGTGCCACCGTCCGGCGCCCACGAGATGTGGTGCACAGGGCGCTTGATGTGGCAAGGGTCTTGAAAGACATTGAGTCCTCGCGCTGAAAGCGGCTCCACTTGCACACCTCCCACCTCCGCTTCTAGGTGCGTCTCGTAAATGTCCAGAGCGTTGTTCTGCAAAATGCAGTGCTCCACGGCCTATATAGTGATAACATTTCAGCTTAATTTTTTTTCAAATCTTATAATAAAAGATTTGACGTTTTGTTAACTTTCTTTGAGCAAATCTACAAAAAATTTAAAATGGAGTGATGACAAAAATAAAAAATAGGTAAATAAATTACAAGTAAAAAATATCTCTGCTAGCCATTCATTTTTTTAAATATTTGAATTTTAAAGCATGAGATAATATAACATTAGCTTTTATCTAATTAATTCTCCATACATGTGAAAGCTGAAGTATAGCGTGAATGTACTTTTCATCCTTCTCCACCTTCTTCCTAAACCTGAGCGTCTGCTCTGGGTCTGCAGGGTTTAAATCTTTGGGCCAGCCACCCTCAACGTGGTTCATTCCCCTATCATCAAACTCTGGCCTTGCTGTGTTCACCTAAGCGCACCCAGATTTATTTTTTTTGTATGTACACAACTTTTTAATTAAAATAGGGTCGAATTGGCAAATAACCTTAAATAAGTTGTTTTACCTGATCGCATTCGGAAAAATCGCCACCGTTTGTTTGTGCAGAGCAGTGAACAGGATTTGTTAATATGTAGTTTTTCCTGAAGTACTCCAGGTCGGTCGGCAGGGTAACCTGCAGCGTCGTCTTGTTCCTTTTGAAGCTGCATCGCCTGCCAAATTCTCTTCTCCTTTTTGAGTAGATGTATTGCAGCTGGTCAGTCGAAGAGGACATGACACACTTTCAAGTCTTACTCAGTGCAGTGAACACTTGCAAGACTATAAATATAACATATGAAAATGGTTTCCATAGCAACCAATTAGGTTTATTGAACTAATTCTGAATTTCGCTAGCATTTAAAAAGGGATATAAATAAAGAAGTTGAATAAAAATTTGGTTCTTTTGATTATTTAATCCACACATTTTATTTGCCCATCTAAAAGTCTACAGAGAATGAATAGACGTTGGGGAAGAATGAAAATGAAAGGCATCCTCCCACTCAACTCTTGTGAAACCCACTGGTGCAACAAAACAACCAGACACAAACAAACAAGTCTTCATTAATTATACATTCGTGAATATGAAATAAAAACGCTTGACAAACAATCATTATCAATCAATTAAGAGACCATAACTAAAATGCAAACATCGTATTGTACCTAGAACTGTAGTTTTAACATAGCACAAATTGATATTCCTACAAACCAAACCACCAAAACAATCGACAAGTAAAAAAAAACTCTTGTTTGTAATTGAGAGCTTTCCCACACGCGAAAGCACCCTTTAAGGAGATATTAATCAATGGAATAAAGAATTATAAAAAAAGTGATCTGCTGCGAACGAGCGCCTTTTGGCGGCGGGGTGGCGAAGGAAGGGTTGTCTTCGATCAGCGCAGCCCCAGACTGGACGCACCAAAAGAACAAAAGGGATGAGACCAGTGATCGGATGTCACCCGAGTTGCCGGAACGAGGCGGCGCCGGCGTCTCATCGCTACAGGAGCGTTGGTCATTCGAGCCAAGTGTGGGGCGGTGGCGATCACGAAATTTTGTTTCGCCACCAAGAGAAGAGCAGTCTAGGGCTAGGGTCTGGTGCGGAGCAGAAAGAAGTGTTAAAAGAGGAGAGGATCAGTGGGCGGCTGACGCGTGCAGGGGAGGAGGGCCCCGACAGGCCGCACGACCAAAAGGTCGGCGGACAACGGGCCTCCGCAGACCCTCAGCTCGGGAACTTGCTGTACAGCGCATAGGTCAGGTCGTAGCTCTTGAAGCGGCAGTACTGGATGTCATGCCGCAGCCACTCCCCGAATGATGCTGCCCGCTCCAACTCGCGCGGTGCCTCGGCCGCCAGAGACGCCTGCAAACAAATATTTTCAAACTATTTTAAAAAAAAAGCAAGATTTGAATTTTTTCATAAAAATGAAAAAGAAAAATTTTTTCCACCAATTAATTTTTAATTATTAGTTGACAGTTTTCTTCTGTCACTAACTTTTGTTTTAAATGAAATTTAATTTGAAAAAGGGCAATTTGTGGATAGTTTATAAATTAAAGAAAACTGATGGGATTAAACTGACATACAATATTCATGGGAAATTTTTTAACACTTTCAATTAATGTAGCAGTAATAACAAAAAAGCATGTTTTGTAGTATTCTGAAGGCCTGCAGGAGCTCACCGGCCAGGAGTAGAGTATTTAAACTTCAAAACATAACCTCTAGATTATTAGTCCATAACACTAATCAAAGTCGGTTTGCAAATGTTAGAATTTTTTATAGCTCACCTTGTTTGCAAATGTTAGAATTTTTTATAGCTCACCTTGTTTGCAAAAACAGTGAGCACAAATTTGCCCGGGCGGAAAGTCTTGACGACGCGCATGATCACCTCTTTGTACGAGGCCTGGGGCACGTTGCTCTCAAAGCTCACATAAGAGAATTCTGGTTCAGGTGTGATGTGGATCGTCATGTAACAGCCCTGTTGAAAAAAATTCTTATAATTTAGACTCTTTCACAAGAAAAAAATTAAAATCACACAAAATAATTTTTTTTAATCATATAAATTATGAAAAAATCATCATGAAAATGAAAGTTATTTGGGCAGTTTAAATTTGAAAGGGTGATGCCATGCCTCAGGAAGATTTGAATACTCACAGAGGCCAGCACAGGACCTTCCTGATAGAAACAAAAAGAAAAGAGTGGGAATAAGTCTCTGTCTTTTGAAATTCTAAATTCAATAGCAAAAATTATCAAGACTCACTTCATCCTTGGCAATTCCGTTCATGGAATATCCACAGGGCTCAAAGAGGAAGTCATCGAGCACCATGTTGGGCATCAGCTTGTCAATTCCGGCGCGCCGAGTGGCCTCAGCAGCCGAGGAGCACTCGTCCCTCGTAAAGATGCTCATAATGTCTGGGTCCAGTTCAGACATCAAGATCTCCAGGGTCTGGTCAGGCTCGGCAGGTCCCACCCTGCGCGGCCCATGCAAAGGGTGCAGGGTGTACAGGTACCAGCAGTCCCTGTTCACCGAGCCCAGGCAGTAGGCAGCTCCATCTTTACAGAAAAAAAAAACACATTTCATTAATTAATAAAATTGCAAAACAAAACTTGAACCTTTGAAGAAGGTGTCCAGAAGGGCCACTTCTTGCTCGAAGTTTCGGTGCGGCGAGTGCTGCAACTCTGGGCGCTTGAAGTTCTTGCGCGAGTAAAAAACGTCCTCCACTTCGTCAAAGCCAGCGTACTGGTTCACCAACAGCAGCAGCGGCTGCAGACACTCGAGCGGAGTTGTTGTGCCGCAAGTTTTCAGGATGAATCGACGCTGTGACACAAACATGCTGCTCTCACTAAAAAAAAATACAAGGAAAATGCTTTGAGTAACATTAATTTTTAAGTTTATATAAAGAAAATAATTGTATCCAATTTCCTTTTTGATCAAATGAATATTGAAATGAAATTTCATGAATTTTATTAATCTTTTAAATTATTTTATAAAAAAAAAACACAATAATAAGATTCGTGTCTTGATGTCTAATAAGAAATAATTTCCTAATTTCCAGAAAAAAAATGTCTGAATTCAGAATATAATTTTTGTTGAATTTTTCCAACGGTCCACATTTATATTTTCAGCGAATGTGGGCCGGCTTTAGGTAAAAAGTGGTCTGTTGAAGCAGGTGTGGTGGACGAAAATAGACTTTGAGTACATAAATTTAGAAGAGATCAAAAAGTGCCGCCTTTATTCTAATCAGACGCTGATCGAATGACCCAAGTGACCTCAGGAAAGAGGGTCAAGGCCGTGAGAGCGAATCGAGCGACTGGGGCGAAGCGAGGGTGGCGCGGGGTGCGGAACGGCTCTGCAGTGGCTGAAGGGGAAGGGGCGCCGCCGCAGTGCCCAGGATCAATTCTGATGCCCGTTTTCTCTCTGCCAGCACACACATGCTGACGCGCCCAATCGATGGCTTTTGTTAGTCCTACCGCGCCCAACTAACCCAGGACTTTCAATTAAAAATTTATTTAGAGAAGACAAATTTTTACTTTTTTATTTATTTTGTTATGATAGATTGAGAACCTAAATCCAGACCTGGATTTTCACTTCACTTGTTTAATTCTAAATTTTATCGATAGTAAAGAGGAATTTTCCTGGTACTTAAAAAGATCAACCAGAACAAAATCAAATTTCAATTTTTAGTAAACAGTATTCAAAACAGTAATCAAAAATAAACTATTTTGCTACATTTTAGGCCTGAATTTTAATCATGAAGTGTAATTCATTTCAGGAATAACCAAAATTTTCAGCTATTTTTGCAACCTTATTTGTTCCTTATGTGGATTAACTTTGCATCTATTTTTGATTGAAGAGCAGCTGTCGACAGAGGAGGGATCAATGGCACTAAAAGTCGAATGATACAAGTGCCAAGGCAGGTTTAGGCCGAGAGCGAAAACAATTCACACAGGAAGAAATAAAAAGCAATCGATTTTTGCACCGCGGCCAAGAATTTTAATGTCGACGTCCCGCAGCGAATTTGGCGAAACCAAGAGCCACGTGCAATTGAAAGTCCTTTACAGTGAAGACGAAAATTTCGGGCCCAAGGTGAAGGTCTGACCGCGTGTAATGGTTTGCAATTGTGGCCAGTGCAAAAATGCGAGGCTTTAAATAGGCTGCACACGCCGGTTTCGCTTTCAGCCGATCTTGCTCCACTTTTTCGATTCAAGACCGCGCCCTTCAGCAGCCAAAAGTCCAAAGTTTTCGAGAGTGAATTTGCGCGAATAATGCAGAGGGTCGGAATCGGCGCGGCCTGCTCGGCGAGTTGGCGTGCGGGGGCCAAAGCACCGGCCGCTTAAATTTAGCGCTCGACGGCTGCGGCTTAATTAGTCAGCCAGAGTCACAACTAACCTGAGTACGTAGGCGTCCAGCTGGTCGTTCTGCACGGAGCTGATGATCTCGCACCGCACTATCTTCAACAGACTCTCCAACTTCTGTCTGAAAACACACAGAAATTTTTTTCGATTAATTTAAAATACAAAACTACTCGCTTGGGAAACAAATCAAGTTCAGCCTAAAATAGCCCTCATTAATTACTTATAAAGAAAAACAATTGGATGAATGGAAATATTTTATTATAATTAAACATTTTTTTTATAATTATATTAATTTATATTGTTAATACATAAAGGGGATTTTCAGAGAATTTACTGCTGAAAGTAAAAATTGCTCATTTTGAATAAGTGGATAACCTAAAAAAAAGGATTGGCCTAAGATTCAATACTGCAGATCATTTAATTACGTGAGATAAGCTTTGAAAATCTTTTTGATATTATCTTAAATAAATCAGCATCAAGGATTATTATAAAAATAATTATTTAACCAAATAAAATACCCCTAAAATTTTAAATTTACAAGTACTAACACGCAAAGCGATGTTCTAATTTTAACCTCCCACTAATACCGGGTGCCATTGAGCAAAATTGTGTTTATTTTTCATTGAGCGTCTTTTTCTTTTGGCCTTGCACGAGACGACACTTTGCAGACTTCCGATTATGCAACGAGTGACGAGTCGTTGGCAGAAGGGTTATGACGGAACGACACCCCTGCTCGCGAGTTCGTATAAAGGCGCGCATTAATCCTTGGATGAGACGCAATTAGCTTTGCACTTGCTCTAGATTCCATTATATATAAATTTAGAGGATTTTCGACGAGCTTTGGACTCCGTCTTGGCGAAGTAAAAAATATTTGTCCCACTTGTTGTTTCTTAGTTGGTCTGGCCACGCGCACGTTGCATGCGAGTGCACTCTTTTCAAGAAGAGGTTGATGAGCGTCTGTAGTTTAATTCGGTTTAATTAAATTTTGCCAGATATGTAGAAAAAAAACCAAAATTTATTAAAAGCTTGGGTTTTAAAAGGATTGTATAGTGTGACTTTTTCAGATTTAATTTCGATCAAACATGCTAAATTAGGAAAATAATAATTTTAATAAAAAGATGGATGTGATTTGCTGGATTATAAAAAAATGGCAAGTATTTTCTTTTTAAATTTATAATTATGCGGCTGATTTTTTGTTTTGAGTGTGAATTATAAAAGGATTAAAACTTCATTTCAATCAGAAAATATGGGATCAATGATCACTAGAAATAACCCACAAAGATAATAACTTTTTTCTGACAAATAAACATACATAATATTTGTTTGAAAATATTAAAAGTAAAAAAAAAATGAATTGAACAATTCACGGTGGGGCTATTATCTTTAAAGTGGCGTATCGCCAGGATCGATTAAATCAGCCGAGGTAGATAAGCTTGCAAGTGACGTCAATGCAGCTTGGGCAAAGGTCAATTTTCTGACCATTCAATTTGAATGCGAGTCATACTAACTTTGAAACTTCTTTCTCGTGTAAATAACGGAAAATTCTGAAAGTTTTAAAACTAGAGATGCGTAAGTTGCACTTAATTAAATAATGAAGCAATTGACAATGAATCATTTTGTGAAGGCAGATGTCATTTGTGAAATACAAACACTTCAAAATGAAAATAAAATTTTATTTTTAATTTTAAAATTTTATTTATACATGAAACTTATGTGAATTTTTTTTAAATTTTAGAGAAAAAGAAGCAGCCTTTATGAAATTAAATATATCATTATTTGAAGAAGCGGTTGCGAAGACAAATGCTTTGCTAAAGGCTGCGCATCCCTGCGTATTGATTCGCAGGGCTGCGGAAGCGCGGACGGCGCGAGCAGATTTCCTGCCGCGAGCTGGGAATGAACAGTACTTTCCAAACGTGTCACGGTTTAAAGAAACACATCTCGTCAGCGCAATAATTGCGTTTCTGCTAGAGGCGACGACACTTCTGCTCATTGCGTTCGCCAGGGGAAATCGCGCGCCTCGGTTTTCCTCCTCCCGCCGCAAAGTCGCCATGCATTGATTGTGACAATTCCAGATGATAATCCTTTCTAAATATAGAAATTTGTTCAAAAATTGCAGCAAATGCTTAGCGGATTAATGAAGAAAAGTATTTAGAAAGTTAGCAAATAAATCACATGTTTTTTTGACTGATTTCTGTTTAATTTAAATGTGTAGATCTAAAACAGATAATTTTTTTAATTGTGAATATTAATCTTGGTTAAATATGCATTTAATAGACAAATTTATATTAATTTTATTTAATCATATAGTTAAGAAAAAGTTAATTTGTTTTGTCACGTTTACATCATATTCATCATTATGTAGGAAAATGGAAGAGAAATAGCAGGGCGTTGGCCGTGAATATTGTATCATATTTGAAAGTTTTATACAGTCTTTAGTCTTCGTTGCACGAGAGTCGTCTGCGATCGTCGCAAGGTCACCCGGGCACGCTCTTATCTCAACCCAGAAGCAAAAAAAATCGCAGCTATTACGAGATTTGCTCAATTTATTGCAGTTCGGTCCAGCTGATTAAACCGCGCTCCACGTGCGCGTGACTTGCATACTCGGAACGATGGGTCTTGTTAAAAAAATTAATTAAATATTTTATATTTCAATTTGAATATTTTGTAAAGAATTGAAATGAGAATGTGCAGTGTCAGAGCGAAAGCGCGTGACAACCGGTTGCAAATCGAGCAGAGACAATGCGAATTTGACCTCTCGCTGCATGAATGGGTTAAAGAATGTGCACTCGTTATAATCCTTTCGCTGCAGCCGTGGCAAAACGAGGCCTTCGGCGCAGACGGTCTGAGAGAGGAAAAAGGAGCACTAAATTCGTTCGTTGACTCCTCCCGTTAAGTCCTATTAGATTAATTATGCAAAACGCTTTAACTAATTTACAACAAAATATTTCTAGTTTGATTTGACATCACAGATCTTGATTAATAAAGATTTCAGAAGTTTAATTCTTCCTGATGTGAGGACAAAAATTTATTATTAAATGCTGGGAATCCCTTTAAAATTTTTCCTTATTGAACGGCGGGGAATTCGTGTTCGGAGATCAAATTTGGTGTTACAACGAGAAGGAGGCTCGGGTCAGACACACGCTGCCGAGCGACCCGACCCATGTACCGAGCGGGCCTGCGATTTGTCGGCTGCAGGCACGACACGAAAAAGCGCCGGCTGGTTAGCAACCGCAGCGAGGTATCGAGCAAGTCTCAACCGGGCTGACGTCACGAGACGAGGACCGGCCGGCTGCCGAGAGCCCACACCACGGCCCCCGAGTCCATCAGGGTCTCAACGGCGCTCAAATTAATTGCAAACCCAATTCGAAAAGGATTCATTCTTTTAAAAATTTTTTGTGAAAAATTACATAAGTCTGCACTTGGCCTTGGCCACGACCTGATCGGCCTCGCCGAGATTTATATAAATATGTGGGCCAGCGTCTACGACTCAGGGCCAACCTTTGAGACCTTCCGGAGGTTCCAGACTGTCGCACGGAAAAAGGGTTAAATTCCCTGTCAAACGTATCGATCGCTTTCACCCAAGGTTAAAGCAGGAAATTTTTAAAAGATGTTTGCAAACTTTAGAAGGGTCTCGAGAGACCTCTCACCTGGGGATCTTGCGCAGGTCGCAGTCGTCGACGCGGCCGTCGCTGCGGGTGAACCACACCTCGAGCAGCTTCTCAACGCCCTCGAAGAATTGCGGATCCTCGCCGCCGGCCAGTATCACTTCGTGCTCAGCCATGGTCGGTGCTCGCGGTGCAAAATGCAGAAAGCGAATGATGTCGATGAAGGGAAAATTAGGACTCGGATCGGAGCAGCGCTCCTATCCCCACCCCTTCGAAAGTCAGGGGAATGCGGCAAAAATCGTGTATCACTTGTTTCGGCGCGAGTTTGCACGCACCCTCGACCCTGTCCTGTCTCTGTTGCTATTCTGGCTTGGAACAACAATTATTAATTAATTACCATTGCCGTCAGAGAAAAGAAGTTTGCACAATTAAAGCTGTAATAAAAAGGAATATTATTTTAAAAACTGGATTGATAATACAATAATTACTTTATAGAGCAAATTAATAAAAATAGAACGCTATTGTAACCATAGAAACTTAAGTAGTTTATTGTGGAAAAATCGATTATCGTCATATAAAAAAAGTGAAAGCTAAAAATTTCTCGTATGTTAAAGTTAAAAGTAAATTATTCTGTGCCTTTTTATACCATGCACAATCAATAATTTTGTCATTTTAGAGGCAACGTAAATTTTGATAACCTTTTAAAACAATTAATTTTTAGAAAATATTAAATAAAATGAGCACAGTTCAGATAATAAACGAGCAGGTGCCCCGTGTCATTGACCAACAACTTATAGAGCGGCAGGCGAACGAGAGCAATTTGCTGGTGACCAATTTGCGGTCACTGGACCTTCATTCATCGAGTACGCAGATTATTTTATTATTTATTATCATTCGAAAGCAATTTTTTTTTCATATTTTTTTTCAGGAATTTTCGTGATTGAAAACTTATGGCATCTAGAGAGTTTGACGGTTCTGAAGTTAAATGACAACTGCATTGAAAGAATGGAAAATTTAGATGCGCTGACCAACCTGATCGAGTTGAATTTGTCCTTTAACAGAATTAGCAAAATAGAGAATTTAAAGCAGCTGGTTAATCTGGAGCGGCTGCTTCTGCACTCTAACCAAATTCACCTTGCAGAAAACATGGACACCTTGCAGAATCTGCGGCTGCTCACCCTGAGCCAAAATCAAATCGACTCTTTTGATAGTGTGCGTAAACAAATTTAAAATTCTGAGTAAATTTTATCGTGGAGTTGTAAACAGGTAATTTATTTGCGGCGGCTGAAGAATTTGCGCGCCTTGTCGATGGACAACAACCCAGTGTGCAAGGAGGCGCACTTCCAGGAGTTTGTTCTGGAGTTCCTGCCAGAGCTGCGCTACTACGAGTACAATCTAATTTCAAATGACCAAAGGCCCAAGGAATCAAAGTTCAAGTAATAAAATTAATCAATTTAACGCGAAATACAATTACAAGTTAGGCAGCTGCTGGCTAAGGTGGAGGAAGAGGAGGCTGAAGCAGATGTGCGATTGAGAATGGAGCAGCAGCAGAAAAGGAGGCGACTTGAACTGGAGAAGGCCTTTGTTGAGACGGTTGAGCCAAGCACCCTCCTGCAACCCCTTGCGAGTGCTTCCTGGAGTCTTGTGGTGCAGATTGGGGCGCTCGAAGATTTGCAGGCAGAGTATTTTAACATAACAAATTTAGCAGAGCACCAATTAAATAATAAAAAAAATAAGGCACAAGGTGCAGGTTGCAAAAGTGTGCGAGCAGTTGCAAGAGGCTGCTCTGGCACAAATGCAGCGTCGCCAGAATGAGATTGATTTGTTTCACTCAGGCATTCGGCAGGCCAGACTGGAGAATGGACTTCAGGGGCAGAAGTAGGTGTTTTTTTAATTGATGTCTTCAGAACAACAAAAATTATATTTCAAAAAGATTAGTGGAAGATTTCATGGCGCCGAAGGAGAAAATCTGCGAGGATTTGCGGAAACTCTTAGCAGCGGCCGAGAGAAGGAAGCCTGGGCAGGAGGAGTCCCCTGAAATGGACCAGGTGCGCGAAATTGCCAATCAGTTGATCAACAACAGCGAGAGTCTCAAAGACAACTTGATGGTACTTGAAATTGAACTTCAAGAGCAAATTGAGGTGTGTGATTGGTAGCCTGAACTGAAACTATAACTCAAAGTAAAAGGAGAAAATTGAGATTTTCAGCAGAAGCATGAGTGAGCTGATGGCCTCTTTCCAGAATGTAGCCAAGCTTAAGTTGTTGCGTCTCCGCGAACTAGAAATGCTCTTCCATCGAGATCTGCTGGATCCATGTCTCACGAGGGCATCAAACATTTATCTCAAAGGTCAGGGTAAAGGGGCCCAGTTGCTTGAGGTAAAACTTTTGAAAACTAATAAACACTGAAATAAGAAATGATAAATTAGCTGGCCAAGGAACCAAGTTTGTTGATGGAACAATTGATCGAGAATCACGAAGAGAGACTCCATGAAATTTGGAGGCAGGAGGTCAAGCTGGTCGCTAGTTGTGACGTTTGGCTAGAGAATCAAATTGCCCAGTTGAAAGAGTTTGTATTCAATTTAAAGACTTGAATATCTTAAACCGTTTAAAAATTTTAAAGGAATGAATTTAAGAGGGGAAGAGAACAGGTGCTTGAGGTGGCACATTTTGTGGATCTGCAACAACAAGAGATGATGGACCTCCAGCCAGGCTCTTGTCTGCCATCGCTTGGGCTCTTGTGAACCAATCAAAAGCCACATGTACTAGAAAACGTGGAAACTTCTTTTTTTAATATCATTAACTTTTGGCAACAAAAATAATATGTAAATAAACATCAATAATTAACAAAATGTAAAAAAAATTATTTTCCTTGCTTGTTCTTGAGCGCCTCCAAGTACTTCTCAAGGCTACTTTGCACAATTGGCTGGTTGACGAAGCTTAGGAAGATGTTCAAGTCAAGTTCCCTGTTCTGCTGGAGCCAGTCGAGCGCGTCATTGCGCAGATTCAGCTTAGTGAGCTTCCTTGCCACAGCTGTTAAAAATTAAAATGTATAGAAGTTACTCTCAATCTCAATACCTGTAAGTGTGTAACATTATATTATATAGTTCAAATTACTTAGCATTTTAATGTTTTTAAATTAGACAATTATTTATAATTTATGAATCATTAAAAAGCCTTTCATACTATTAAAATTAATAATTCAAACTTTGCCAAAAATCAAGTAATTCAAAGTAACATATAGATTTATGCAAAAGCGCAAAAAAAATACGCACGATGGATTTTGGCAAACAAGCCAAGGAATTTCTCTGCTTTGGCAATAGCGTCGGCTTTGTCGGTGGCAACCTCATCTATCAGCCCAATCTTCAAGGCTTCTTCGGTGGAAAACATGCGGCCAGTGGTTAGTGCCAGCTCAGTCTGTCTATAAGGAATTGCGGCCAGCATGGACGACATGAACCACTTGGGAGCCACAATGCCCAGTTTGGTCTCATTCAGACCGATGGTGTACTGTGGTCCAACCATTACTCGGTACTCGCAGCTCAGCGACAGAAGACAACCACCAGCTGGACTGTGTCCCTTTAAATAAAGCAGAAAATTATTGCTTATTTTTGCAAGTAAGACAGTCCCTACATTTATAGCTGCAACGGTTGGGTAAGACGAGCCAAAGAGTTGCAGCCACACCTCCTGCAGGGTGGACCAAAAGGCCTTGACGCGGTCAGGCTTGGGCTTGTACATTTCCATTATGTCCAGACCAGCGGAGAAAACAGTTGGTGAACTCTGCATGACATTAAAATAAAATATGAATTTCTTCTATGTACAACTGAAATTATTAAACCGATGTCAAAATCATGCCCCTGCACTTTCGGTTATCTTCCAGTTCCTGCAGGGCCTTGGAGAGGCCTTGAAGCAACTCCAGGTTGAGGCTGTTCACAGGAGGCCGGTTCATTGTCAAGGTGGCAATGCCTTATTAAAAAATTAATACGATTAAAAAATTTCGTTCTTTCATCCAACTCACCTGTTTTTTCATTAATCGACAGGTCAACAAGCTTTGCGTCTGCTGACATTGCCCTTGCGCAGGCAGGTGCCACAGCCTTTAAAAGACTTGGCCTGATGCGAGAGCTTAAATTCATCATGGCTCTGAAACAATAAAATTAATATGGTTTTATTTAAATACATATGGAAGAGAAATTTAAAATATTATTCTTTTAAATTGACTATTATATAAAAATATAAAATAAAATACATAGCCATGGTGGCCCCGGCTTGCTATTTCAATAATTAACTCTTTATGTACATAAATATGATAAATGAATGATTCTTTAAAAATGTAACTCAATAATTACCCCACTCAATTAGTTCAAATAAAATTGATTAAAACTTTAGTGCAGTCGTGAGTGACCTTTATCCTATTGATATGGATTTGCAATGGAAGATGAAAAAAGGGGCGCGGCACCGGTCCAGCTGTTTTTTGCATTGATACCAACATAATTTATTTTTATCATAAACAACAAAAATTTAAATATCCTATCAATGCCACAATCAATCTTTCAATTTTGCTAAAAAAAAACTCTATAAAATTTTTAAAATGTAATTTTAATAGTTATTTTTAGTTTAAAAGGTAAAATAATTTATTGCGTACCTTCTCCTAAGTTGGTAGCTAAAAATTGTTTTACCACTGCGGAGAGGCACTCGACGTCAGGAAACAAGAGGGTTAGGTGTCAAATTTTGTCCTTCTTTGCGAGGCGCCTGCGGTCAAATCAATTGGAGCCACAAACGAGGTCATACTAGGTAAAAACTCCCTGTACTTTTATTAATTTTTCCAAAATGGCTCTGCATTTCATGTTTCTAACGCGTTGATTAATACGCAGATTGCGTGCAAGCGGTCCATACACACCGTAACATACACCTCTGAATTTTTGTGGATGATGAGTCAGCCAGTGGCGGCGACCTGCTGATTCGCCACCAAAGGCTTTTTTATAGTGCCCAACACAATAATGGGTGAAGTGGCAAAGATCAAGAAGTTCCTGGCGGAGGCGCGCTACCACCACCAGGAAGCGACCAGCGTTGACATGGTCAACGTGATGAAGCAGTACAAGGGGCTTGTGTCCAACCTGGAGCCGTACGTCTTCAACGACGGCACCTGCCGAAAGCTGACCAATCTCTCTGGTACCATTCCGGTGCGCTACAAGGGCAACACCTACAACATACCCGTCCGCCTCTGGCTCATGGACACACACCCTTACAACTCGCCTATCTGCTATGTCGCCCCTACCGCCGACATGTGCATAAAAGTAATTAAAATTTTTACAAAACACTTTTTATCAATTATTACTTTCAGTAAATTATTTTTGAATTTTTAGCCTTTGAATTAAAATTAGTAGGTGTACTTTTACTACTTTTGCTTTAATAATTTATTTACTTATTTTTCCAGGTTTCTAAATTTGTGGATCATAATGGCAAGGTCTACCTGCCGTACCTACACGAGTGGGACGCGAGCAAGGCAAATCTTTTGGGTCTGGTGCAGGTCATGATCACAGTTTTTGGGGAGCAGCCGCCCGTCTACACCAAGTCGAAGGCGCCTTACCCAACACAGCAGGCCATGCCCACAGCCTCTCCTCCGTACCCTGTGTATCCTGGTGCAGCGACGCCCTACCCTGCCATGCCTTCGCAGGCAATGCCTCAACCTGGTGGCTTTCCCCCGTACCCTTCGATGGCCTCGGAAACACCCTACCCTCCGGCCTACCCTCCTGCAAGCTCAGGGTATCCCCCTCCACAACAGACGCCTTATCCACCGATGCAGCCAAGCCCCATGGCATCAGGCTATCCACCCCAGGCTGGGGTTGGTGCTGGAGGCGGTACAATCACCGAGGAGCACATCAGGGCGTCCCTGCTCTCGGCTGTTGAGGACAAACTGAGGCGTCGACTGCGAGAGCAATTCTCACAGGGCACGGCCGAACTTGAGACCCTGAGACGCACCAACCTTGAACTTGTCCAAGGCAAAAGCAAACTCGAAGGCCTAGTTGGCCGCCTAGATAAGGACTGTGCTGAACTGGACAAAGCAATCGCCACCCTGGAAGAAAAAGAAGCTGAGTTGGAGAAGGTAAACTTTATTCTATAATTTTGATTTTATAGGATTTGCCCTAATTTAGAAATTCAAACAAGCATTTTTTTTTTTTTTTTTTGTGGTAGAATTTAACGATCAAGAGTTGATTAATGGTGAGTTTGATTTAAAATTGGCTTTCCCGGTATGGGTTTTTGGAGTCGTTAAGGAGCAGGATATTGTTATTTTCTTAATCAATAAAAAAATTATATAAAAACATAATCAAAAATCAAAAGAAAAATAATCAAGGAAAAGCCAACTTTCATTCCAACTCACTGTTTTTTCTTTCTTAAATTTAAATCTGTTTTAGTAACCAATGGCAAAATAAAAAAGATGTTTTATTTCACTATTTTTCATTTTGAAATTGAAAGCAATATAATATGATTATATTTTATTGTTTTACAAACCTAATCTTTGCGAGATTAAAAGAAGAACACTTAACAAGCATTTAAAAAGGCTGATAATACTGTTTACATCTTCAACATGAAATGGCTAACAAATTATTTTATTAAACTAAAATGAAGTACCTCATGAAGTTGTCATTAGTGACCAAATAATTTTTTTTTTTTTTTGAAGTAAAGCGTTTTACATAATATAGCAGCAATTCTGCATTGCAAACACTTTTATTCTAATAAAAGTAATAAATATCTCATTTTGTCCCAGGGATTGGGCAAGTTGTCTTCAGAGGAACCGATTGACATTGATGAGGCGGTGACCACCACTGCGCCCCTTTATAGGCAGCTCTTGAATGCTTTTGCAGAGGAGTCTGCCATCGAGGATGTCATTTACTACTTGGGCGAGGCGCTGCGCAGGGGCCGCATCGACCTGGACGCCTTTCTCAAGCAGGTGCGCGCCCTCTCACGAAAGCAATTCATGCTTCGTGCCTTGATGAACCGGTGCCGACAAAAGGCTGGACTTGCTGGTTGATTACTGTTATTCAAACCATTCTTATTTTATTATCTCTTTTAATCAATTGCAATTTTCATTTAAGCCTTATTAGTCAACTCACGCATCTTTATTCACTATATAAAAATGATTGTGTAAATATACAAGTATTTTGTAAGCAGATAAGACAAAAAATAAAAGGCTAGGTACTTTCCGATGCCACTCAGCAGCAAAACAGCATTTTTCACTTCCATTGTGCCTCTTTATTAAGAATACAACAATCATTAATATTATAAAAGGAATAGTCTCGGAGCAAACGTGCACCATTTCGTGAAACCTGCTCTGAAATCAACAGCGGAGCAACAAACAAGATAAAATGATAAATCTTCATAATACGCTGGCCGATCAAGCAAGTCTCATGGGAATCGTCTTAAAAAATAACGCGTGTGTGTTTTCTGATCACAAGCCAAATCAGTCGAGCGAGCACTCTGACTAGGTGTCCTTTTTCTCTTTGCTCACAAAGGCGGTTGGCTGCCGTTGGTGCCCAAGAGGGCCTCGATCTGGGTGCGGTACATCTCCTTGACGTCGTCAAGGTCCATGCGCAGCTCCTGGTTGGCTTCGAGCTGCTCCCCGTACATCTGCAGCAGGGCGTCGTACTTTCGCTCCAACTCGGACAGCCGCTGCAGCTCAGCCGCTTGGGTCTCGGCCTTGGACAACAGAGTGGCTACCTGAGAGGCCAGCTCAGTGCGCTGGGCCTCTAGTCGCTTTGTCTGCGAGCGAAGCAGCGCTGTCTCTCCGTCACGCCTCTTCACCTGAAGTCAATTTCAACATATTTAAAACAGAAAATTTAAATGCTGTAAAAGTTAAAATATATATTGTTATTTTTTTCAAATCTAACTTAAATATTTTGATTTGAAGACTCATTTACATCAATACCTGAGACTGAAGGCCTTCAAGAAGGGCTGAGGTGGCCCCTCCAGAAGCAATCTCGTTAGCAAGACTGAGAACACCCACTCCTTCAAGCACATCGTCAGGTAACCAGCTGGTACTGGCAACACTATCACTCAAAGAGGGCGCAGGGGAAGCTCTTGGGGGGCTTTGAGATGCAGCCTGATGTGATATGGATACCTGCAAATAAGAATCAGATGGTTAAAATTTTATTTGTAAATAATTTTTCTCTCAATGCTTACAGTAAGGGGGTTCTGTTCGAGCATCTGACTACGAGCAACTTCTGCTTGTTTCAACTTGAACTCTAGTGCGGCTACGTGACGCTTTTCAGCCTCTGTAGCCGCCTGCTGAACAGCCAGCTGATCCTTCATCAATGAGATCTCTTTCCTCAAACCTTCTACCTCCTCTTTGTGTTGCTCCTGTATCCCCTTGATGCTTTGAGAAAGTCTGAAACCATTTACAGAACAATTAAATTCCTTTTTTCACTGTAACTATGAAATTGAAAAATTTAATGAAGTCATTATAAAAGTTATAATTTATAATACAATTATTCCTAATATTAAAGCACGAGATCTTAGGTCAAAATAAGGAAACACAAGTAAACAATAACTCAAATTTTAAATTTATGTTTAGTATTTTTTCTTACGTTTGCTTTTCATGCTGGTATGTAGTGCAGGCAACTTGCAGTTCTTTGTGGGTGGCAGTAAGTGTGGCTATCTCAGTTTGTAGGGCCACAAGCTGAGCATTGATGGTGGAGTTTCGGTCTCTGGACAAACGCTCCTGCTCACTTATGGCCGTCAGTTTTGCCTGCAGCTCGGAGATTTTGTCACAAAGTTGTCGTTCACTTCGCTCGGCTAATTGCTGCTGGCTGGAGGCAGACGCCTGCAGAGCCTCAAGTTGTCTCAGCAGAGGCTTGGTTGAGTCAGAGGTGCAGTGGGCAAGTTCTTCAGCCCGCGCCTCAGCCGCCTGCAGCTTTTTTAGCACAGCATTGTGTTCTCGCCGCAGCTGCTCCTCTCGCTGCGAGCCACTTGCTGAAGAAGACGTAAACTCAAGACGTAGCGCCTCCAATTCACGTTCGTGTGTAATTTTTAATTGATTTATCTCAACTTGTTTCTCCTCTAATTGCTGAGACAGAACTTGACGCTGGGCCAATTCGGAGCTTAACTGCAATGAACGAAGCTCTGTCATTTCCCTAAAATTCAGGAAAAGGTCATCTTAAGATTTGAAATACTTTGTGTATATTTAAGTTAATATTTCAAGCATTATTAATAAAATTTCTAAAATTTAATGTATGTAAAAGAGTATCTTGTCCAGATAAAAAAAACCCACTTATTAATGGAATCAAGAGAGTCCTGCAGACGATCTTTTTCCTCTTTCATATCGTTGAGCTGGATCTGCGCAGCACTGAGTTCGCGGTCCTGCCGCTTGACTTGTGCCGTCAGACGATTGACTGCTTCAATTTGACTCCGTTCTACCTCTTCCTTGGCGCTCAATGACTTCTTCAGCCTTTCCGCCTCTTGATTGAGTTCAGACAAATGCTGCCTTCGGATTAAAAAAAAGTGGCCATTAAAAATAAATATATAAATTTTAAAATTTTAATTTACTTGTTGGTTTTTGAAGCAGTCTCCATTTCTTTTTCCTTGGCTCTAAGTTTCTTTACCAGAGTGGAGAGTTGCAGTTGCTGCTTGGATAATTTTTCACCCTCGAGACGCAGCTCTTTGATCTCTTCGTCCTTTTCAGCCACAATTGCCTGCAGCTCCGAAACATCCACTTTACCAGACGCTTCCTGTTTTGCACTCTTTTTTCCAAAATTTAAAATTATTTTAAGAATTTTTTTATTATTTTTTTTTTTTTTTTGCAAAACTCACATCTAACTGCCGCTTAAGGGCCTCCTTGTCTCTAATGGCTTGTTGGAAGCGCCGCTCCAAAGCAGATAGCCGCTGAGTGAATTCTTCAGTTATCTGGCTAACGTCTTGAGTGTTGGCTGCTTGCTTCTGCAGACCAGCTTCAAGTTGTCTAGAAAATTTTATTGATTAGTTTGAATAAAAAAGTTGCAGTTAAAATAAACTTTTATAGATTGAAATATTTTTTTTAAACAATGACTAAATATTTTCAAATAAATTATGTTCTTACTTTTGCAGGTCAGTGTTGCTTTCTTGTAGCTCAATGTTATTCTTACTGAGCTCAAAAAGTTTAGACTCGCGCACCTCCAACAGTCCATGTAGTTCGTGGATTTTTTTCAGCATTTCCTCACTGGGCGCATTTGGATCGATGCCTAATTTTAGTAATATAAGAATTAAATATTAAATCAATTTTTTTAATATTGTTTACGGACCTGGAAGTCTAAGTGGAGCACGTTCTGATGTTGATGAGTCTGGGGAACCACTGCTGGGCAACTCGGCTCTCACAACGCTAACCAGTGGATGCAGCTTTGTGGGGCTGTGCCGGGAGTGTGTGCTGCTGCTGTCACCATTCGGGCTGGAGATAATCTCAATGTCTGAAGAGGTGGCCGTCTCTAACTCGTCACCTGATGTCTGTCCGCTGAGTTGGCCACATTCTATTTTTATTGGCTCAGACCTGCAGAAGACGAAGACCTCACATTTTGAATATTATTGATACAAAATTGATTTAAAAATCATTTGCTACTCACATTAAAATAACAAAAATAGTTATCGATAGTTATTTTGCAAATTAATAAAATAAATAATTTGATAATACATAAATTAAATGTAGCAAATTTCAAGCGAAACGTTTTAGATTTTAAACTTTATGAAAGCTATGGTAAATCATCTAAATTTGAGCCTAAATCCCACTGACATAAAACATTAACTAGAATTTAAATTTGCAATTTGAGTTTGCCTTGCAAATGAGAATTAATCTCTGTTGGCAAATTTACATAAAAAGAGTGAAACAACTGTTTCTTTAAACTAGTGCTGAAAATGACGCACGACAAGATGAAGATAAAGAAATATCTTAAAAGATATTAAAATATTAATGTTTGCCTACGTGAGTGAGGAAACAGGAGAATGTTGATCTCTGCCAGCCGTCTGGGAACTGTGCTCAGAAGAGTGCGAACTGGCCTGTTCCTCCATGGCCTCAGCCAGCATGGTTCGCATGTGAGCGCTGGCAGTCAACTCAATGGCAGCCACCCTTGGCTCCATCACAGTTGTCGTTGTTGTGCTTGACGCCGAGGTTGAGCTGTCGTCGGCCAGACTTGCCTCCGACTCTTCCTCGTTGATCACCTGCAGAATGAAAACCATATAATGTAAGAAAAACGTCAAACAAAAATGTGAGCCACACTTACAAGCTCAGAATTCTTGAACACACAATCAGGGTGGAACTTAAAAATGTAAGAAAACAAAAGAAATAAAAAGAAAACTCTAAAAGAAAAATTTGTTCGAAGACAAGATAATCGAATAATATGGAATATATTCATGGTGATTTGAATTTAAATTAAGCTTGTTTATTGTTATTCATTGTCTTTCTTAAACAATAAACAACTCATAAAACCCATCGAGGAAAAGCTGACTTTCAATTCAAATCACCATGAATCATTCCTCGATCAAGAAATTCTAATAAAAAAAAATGGGATATATTGTTATCAGATTACTATTGAATGCTCATAATTTTTCATAAAAAAATGCAGTATAACAATTACTTATATTTTAAACCAATAAAAACATATAATTATTTTCTTTTTGCATTCCTGGTATGTTTTTTAATAATGGCAGAAATTGAAAAAAAAGATTATTTAGTGAAAAAAATTGATTTTTTTTTCAAAACTGTTCAAAACCATTGTCTTAAAACACAGGTTTAATTCATTAGGGGATTTTTACCTCGACACTCTCAGGGGTGAGTAAATCACTAACAGGGCTCTGCAAGGGTGGTTGCTGCTGCTGAGGACGGACAGGAAAGAGGGTGAGTGGCCTCAACGGAGAGCACGGCGAGTTTGCCTCGCTCCAACCTAGCACCTCCACAGAACTGGGAGAAGTCAAATCACTGCTGCTGCCGCCTGCAATTATGCCAACTGACTCTGGAGAGCTCTGCTCTGCAAGTCGTTGGCTAAGATAAGAAAAATAAATTACAAAAATGTCTATGCCGGCTATAAAATAAAGTTTTTCGTAAAAATTTGTACCTGAACAAGTACTTGATGCTGAAAATTGGGTCAGAATAAATTAAAGAACATAAAATTTTGACTCAAATTACCAGGCCTCCGCAGTTTCAGGTGAAAGGCTACTTTCACTGGTGGATCCCAAGACTTCAACACTTTCGCTGCCTCCCTCGTCCGGACTTCCAGTGCTGGATGAGATCACCGACAATCTGTTGGGATTGAAGGGTGCAACATTCCTTCCTCTGTTTTGCCTTGCCAGACCAAGACTTGAAGGAGGCTGCTTGGTGCCGACGGCTTCTAGGGTCACCTTTTTGGGTTGACGAAGCACAAGTGCCGTGTCCGGCTGATCTTCCGTTGAACCTGTAGATTTAAAATTTTCGCAATCACCATCTTATTTTATTTGAATTTATCTAAAACCTGGTTCAGGCTCAGCTTTATTGTCAGCATCAAAGAAGGAGCCAGTGAAGGATCCCCACAGGTTGTTGGTCGAGGGCGTAGGCTCATGTTGTACAGCCAAGTCGGCTGCCGACGGTGTCCCTTGCTTGCTCGTCGAGACATCGAGACTACTTGTCGGGCTCTTAATGCCCCAGCTGGAAAAGAATCCATCCGACTCGTCTTCTGCAGCTGACGTCGACGCTGCCACAACTTGAGAAAATAAAATATTTATGCTGCTGATTTTTTAGCAAGATAAAAAAAAAGTGCGTACCTTTAGAAGGCGCAGGGTCGTCATCCTTGATGTCGAGCGCCTTGTCGATGGTCCTCTGCGCCTCTTTGAGCGCGTTTTTCGCCAAACTGGCGATGCCGGCCGTGTCGAACCAACTCATATCGGCCTGTCCATACCTCGATCCCTCCGAAGGACCAAATTTCAAAGAAATCGAGCTTCGGCAAAAATTCGCCCGCCCCTGATTTCACGTAAACATTGACAAGTGTCACACACAGCGCAGCTGACTGGGCGATTCGCCTGCCCTGTCTGCTACGTAGATTGTGAGACGGTGCTGCACCCTGCTGGAATTTATGTATTTTTGGCCTTTTTTTATTAGATGAACGAGATAAACCTAAACTCAATTTGCAAAATTACAAATTATTGCTTTAGAACTATTTATCAAAAAAATTATTCTTGGAGTAAAAAGCATGAAAGAAAATGAGAGCATTTTGCATTGATAAAAAAAACTGCGCCTCGGCAGAAAAATTTTGCCGGAGCTTGAAAAAAATCAGAGCTTTACTTAATTACACGATAAAAAAAATCCATTACAAAGACCGACTAAAATGACAGGTTCAGTTTATGAAGAATTAAACTCCTAAAAATAAATTGGAGATTGGAGTTTATAATTAATTTTTAAGACACCTCAAATAAATAAAATTTTCATAGGTTTTTTGTTTTTAAATTTAATTTAAAGTTATTATATTCTTTGATCTGCTATAATTATTAATTGAATTAAATTGATAAGGAAAAATGACTTTGAAATTTACAGTACGGCAGCAATGAAACATTTTGCAGAACAAAGATCACTTAAAAATTCAGTCCAATAAGGAATGCTCTTGTAATTGATCACTCCCAATCCTTGAGGATCTTGTCGTAGTCTGCCTCATCAATGAAAGGCTGGTCAATTGACCTGCAAAAGTGGACAGTTACTATTATTTTATCTCCAATAATTGCAATGATCACAAACCTGATCATGTTGTCCCCGCAGTAGAGGCACTCGCCAGCAACAAGTGAGTCAACCTCAGTTCGGACCTGTTCCCTGGCACTGATGGCTGACGAGCCGACGGACACAGCATCTTCCTTTACAGTCATGCTTGCTAACTGGCGCTGTTCAAAATAAATAAAAATTGAACTTAAGAGTACAAAAATACAAAATAAATTAAAACCTGAAGCTCCCTAAGACGGGAGAGCTGCTTGGTAGACAGCATAGGCGTGATCTGAGCCTGAAGACAGTCCATGTGGAAGTGGTGCGAACAAGGGAAGAGGAAGAATGCACGACTCATCAGTTGCTGATGGCATAGATTGCACATATCGTGCCCAGACACATATGCAAATTTGTTTTTGAAGGCGTTGATCTCATCTCGAATAACCTCAGCCGACTTGGTAGCCTCCTCCATTTCCTCCTTCAGCTCCTGAATGTGTTGGTTGTACTCCTGTATAAAAATCTAAGTAATTAAAACCCAGTTATGATTAAAAGTTAACCAGCATACTTCAAGTGATTGGCAAATGGCATCTTTGAAATGGTCAATGGTGACAAAATCAGAGAAAAATGGCAAAATATCCTCAATTTTGATCAGGTCGCATTGCTGCATGAAGTCCATAGCTTGTTGAACATCTTCCTTTTCCTCCACAACATGACGTGCTGAATTAAAATTTAAAAATATGTAACAAAATTAAGTTATACCCTTTATAATATGATTTAGATTTTATCTCAGAGAAATAAAAATTTAATTTTAAATAAAAAGTATTTGTTTTAAAATAGGCTTACCTATTTTTAGCCACAACTTCTTCCTCAGCTCATTGTCGTCAGGTGTTTGGGAAGCCGTTTGCTTGGCAACATCTAGATTGACCAATAGCGCCAAGTCCACTGCAGCCTCCCACAAGCCTAGCAGACAGGACAGTTGCACACATGCCTCTGCAATGCCTCTTTCACGACAAATGCGCAGGGCGTAGTGGGCGTCATAGTTGATTAAGCTAACATCCTGGCCTGCAACATCGGTCATGAACTTCTCATTAAATTTACTTTATTTGCAGCCATTGCAATAAAAAATAAACTATTGTAGAAACATGGTTTTAAGCAAAAGGTGAATAAATTAATCACGAATAAATTAAAAGAATATACCTTGAATGGCAAGGTACTGCATAAGCTTCTCTGGGTTGAGTCTGGCGTAGAGTGCAAGCAGGTAATTGTGGATAGCTTGATCTTTACACTGTAAATCCTGAACGCAGAATTCAAGGTAGCGTACCGTCTCGCTTGCCTGCAGGTCAGTACCACCCTGGTCACATAAAACCAAAGCAGGGATCAGCCGTGCAGGTGTCAAGTTTCGACCTTGACCAATTAATGCCTGCACCATTTTACGAGGCACAGCTTGCATAAGAGCTGGTGCAAATTGGTAAAAGTGCTCTTTCCTCCCGTGCCTCTTCAACACTTCCAAAGCTAAAAGTTCATAACAATTTGAGTTACCAATATCAATTTAAATTTTGAAACCAACCATCCTCAAAGGCGCCTTTTTGGATATTCTGGGCTATCACTCGTTCATAGTCTTGGTTTAACAAGGTGAAACTGGTAAGATTGTCCTTATCACCGTGGCTAGCCATGAGATTGTAGATTGTGCCGTAATTGTTCTTCACACATTCCTTTTTTCAATAAAAATATTAAATGTGTAACAACAAAAAATGACTAAGAAAATTAAAGCAGACCTTGACCAGACGCTGGTCCATGAAGCCTTTAAAGTGCTTCTGCAGCTCGTCATACTCAGGTGTGTCTGCCTTCCCACTATCCCTAAGCTCTCCCAGCTGGTTTAGGAACAACTCAATGACCCACACCACAATCATAGTGATCTGCGTCTTGTCCTGTGGTCGAACTTTTTCCAATTTCTAAAATAATTAACAAAAGTTACATAGGCTGTAGTAAAATTAAAAAAAAAAAAAAACTCACCAAGCAGAGAAAAAGTTTCAAAGCCTCAATTTGCCACTTTCTCAGAAACTTCAGAGTGATTTCTTCAAAGGAGGTCTTTGTGTCTGCAAAAGTCGTGGCACTCTCCATATATCTAAAATTTCAAGGGCATTGTTTTGTAAAAAATAAAATACATTTAATTATTGGCCACAATAATACTTTTCTTTTTCAAACAGTTTCTCAGCTTTCTGTACAAGTACAAGGTCAGTATGCTCTGGGTTGTTTCTAGCAAACTCCATCGCTCTATCAAAGTCACCTTGCTCAAGGTAGACCTTCCACATGTTCCGTTCCTCTTGCAACACCTTGTACTTGAAAATAGACTTTTCTGAGTAAACCCAGATAAAACCTTTCAGTGCATCTTTGCAGATTCCTAACAATTTTCCAGTTAGCTGAAAAAGAAAGTTGCATTTAAATTCGTATATATGCACTTCTGAAATAAGTACGTCAGCCTGAAAAGTATCCTGGAAGATTTGCTCTTGGTTTAGCAGACAGAGTGCCTGAACACGGTCAGGGTACATTAGAAGGGCATGGAATTGAGTCATAACGAAGGAAGCAGGAAGATCAGGGATCTCCACGTTGCCCTGCATTGGCAAAAATTTGAGTACTTTGCACTTGGAGAATATGCTATCTTGACCAGGAGGACTAGTAGAATCAACCTGAATCATTAAAATAAATGAATTAATCTGAAATAAAATAATCGGCAGTTTGTACCTCAGCGTGGTAAATTCCATTTGAGGTGAGCCAGCCAAAGATCTTGGGTGGCTCCTTCACTTGAGTGTAGCAAAACTGGAGCCTTGAGTTTTTCAGAGGTGATGTCATTTCCATGTAGTTTTCTTTTAAAAATTGTTACAACAAATATATAGAATTACTTTTGAAAGTACAAACCAGGAATACTGGCATTTAGGTAGCTGTTAAAAATTTGCAGCAGGACGGGTTTGTCATCAGCGCCGCTGGCGTTACCAACAAACTGATAAATTCTGCTAGCTGTTGCTACCATGACAAAGTAGCGTTCCGAACTGGCGTGGGCCCGATGAAATTCTATGCCCACAATGGGGAGCAAAGACCCTTTACCCAGGTCAAACGCCTATTGAAAAATTAATGCAAATTTAAATATTTTTTCTTAAAAAAATTTAATACCTCTTTCCAAATTTTTTCCCAGCTAAGTTGGAAGATGCGATCGGTCTCTGCCAAAAACTCGCACTCGAAGAGCAGACCCTTTGAAGTCCCAACGAGCAAGGGTCCTGTGGTGGTGACTGCATCATTGGTGTGGTTCCAGCCGACAGCCGTGACCTCAACGCCCCTTGCCCGGCTGCTCTGTCTGAATTTGGTCGACTTGCCAGAGAGGTAGAGCAACTCTGGCCCAGCGTCCCCGTGCTTTGAGGCAACACTCAAAAGGGCGTGTTGCCCCCACGGGTCCAAGAAAACTCCAACCACTCGCATTGCCACAGACATGGGCCTCCCTACGTCAATTTCTGCAAAAGAGGAAAATATTTAATCCAAATGTTAGAAACTCAAACTCGATAGGGCAAACCATCAACTTTGTCCGGCTGACGGTGGTCATAACGCAACACCGAGTTGTTGCTGAGCACAACAAGGACAACGTCGTTGCTGGCAGCCAGTCGCTGAACCGGAGCCCTTCCTGCTGACCCTGGCAAGTTCACTTTGACTTTGCTGAACATCGCAGGCTCCGCATCCATCAGCATTTTAATCATTCCAGTTGTACCCTTCAAAAAATATTATAAAGAATAAATAAAATTAAAAATTATCCATTGTAATTTCCCCTTTTTTAAACTAAATATCTTACCATGTCCGCTCTTGAAAGCTGCTGCGCCTCCAGCTCGTACTGAGCTAGAAGGCTGGACATTTTTGACCGAGATCAGTTCTCAGTTGAACAATTAAATTCTATGTGTACATGTACATTCATATAAAATTTGACAGAAAATAAATAAGTGGGCGTGAGTGTAGCGGCTAGAAAAATTAGAGAGGTGGGTTGCGGTCGGCGGGCATGCGCGCGAATTCACACTCACAGCATGCTGCAGCGCAACCTGCAGCGTGTTGTATGAATGCTAGGTGGTGTATGAATACTATGAATGTCTTTTTGTAGTGCTGCTCCAGCAGCTCCAGCAGTGCATGTTGTAGGCAAAAGAATTATTATTATGCTGCAGCGTGTTCGTACTTGCACAAAGTGGCTGGTCAGGCAGATGCTAGTTCAAATAGAGAACGCGTTGAACTATTGTTCAAATGCGTGCCGTACGTGCAGTAAAAACAGGAGATTATGCAGTGAATTACTATGAATAGCTGCGATGCAGAGTCTAAGTTTTATTTTTAGACAAGCAGAGGAACGAGAGATTGTGCACTTGTGCAGGTGGTTGATTTGCAATTATATGTACTGCATTCCTTCCTGGCCAGTCTGGTCCTGGTCTGACGTCTGACCCGTCGTTTACCTGAGCAATGTACATTTGGTACATATGTATGTAGTTTAGTTTGCTCTGGGAGCATTACATAAACTCTTCTTGTGGAAATAAGGACCATGTGGACATAAGAACTCCCTGGTGTTACGCTATGCTATGGTTCTTAACATTTCATCTGTGTCGTTGTTTGCATTAACTCTACTGATTTTTACTATAAATTAGGTTATGTAAACGCGAATTATCCATAATTGGCGGCGAATTTGGAGCGCGCATCATGGCATCCATGCCATGGATATCTTTTTAATTGCGCTAAATTTACGCTAAATCTTGAAAGCTGACGCTAGACAATCTGTTTTAAGTCTCATATGTGTGTATCAAACTTATTTATTATTTGATCCAACCAATCTTAATCGATGTATTAAGATAAAATTTTCAAGCCATCTATATTTTTTATTAATGTACTCAAGAAAAAATCTCTGATGATATTTGAAGCATTATTATACTAACGAATAACTCGAATAACTAACGAAAAAATTCGAATTGGTGCATCTGTGAAGCTTGTGTTGTTTGACTGCTTCATGCTACATACAGACAGCTTCAAACAGATTCGATCTCATCAGAACATATCTGTGCGATTTTGTGCAAAGAATTGAACGAATAACGTTCAGTCTTGTTTAGTAGCGTGTATCATCAAGCCTTACGTCGGTCCCTGGGCCAACCTAGTAGTGCAGCCTAGCGAGTCTAACAGACTCAGCAAAGTTTCCATAAGTTTGTGTCAGTGAGAATAAAATGTTTTTATCGGTTTTTACAATTAAAAAAATCCATCCAAATAAAATTGCTTGGATATTATTCAATAAGCAAAAAATAATTTTAAAAACAACTGAAAAACAATATTGTAATATAATTTAAATTAAATTTTGGTTTAAATTATTTACAAAATATATGTAATGTAATATTATTAATAGCCTGTGTGACTGGATCAGTGCTTGCCAGAGTGTGCCTATTTCTGTAAAAAGATTGGACTTTGCAAGATGGTCGGCAGGTGTCGGGGGTTGCAAGACTAGGGTGCCGGGGGTGCGTGGCGCGCAGATGCAGTCATCGGAGGCGGCAATCCGTCTGCCCTATTCGTTGTGCTGTGTACGATCGAGTCGCTCTGTGGCCACTCTCGGCATGGAGTAGCAACGCGACGGACATACTTTTGTGTCTCCTCGTGTAAATTGTTTTCGTCCGTCGTTCATCGGTGAAGTTTTAAGTGTTGGACACAAACAATTTTTGGCGATGAGCAACAACGAGTTCGGGTGCGCGACGCCGCAAGTGATGCGGGCCAGCGGCCGTTTGGCCGCCTCGAACGAGCGGCTGTGCTCGTCCGAGCCAAGCTCGCTGTCCGGCTCGCCGGTACATCAAGGCAGGTGGGCCTCGCCGGCCACCACGCTGCTCGTCGAGACCGAGTGGGATGGCAAAGAAGTCACAGTCGTCGATGGATTCGTCAAGTTCAGGGACAACAAGAGGGTCAGTATTTATATTACTTCAGGCACTTATTAATTTTTACTCACTAATTAAGATAGATTTGTACTAAAAAATTTTGTTTAGTTTTGAAAATGTTTAATTAGTACCAAATATTTTATTTTTTTGGAACACTTTGATTTTAATTAATTTTAATAAACACTTTTAAAAATAATTTCTAATGAATTCTATTAGTCTACAATATATATATTTTTTTTATTATTCAATTCTATAACTCATGTTTCAAAGACCATTTTAAAATCAATTTAATGAATTTGTGATTTCCATATTATAATTTTCATTCAATATTTAACATTAATTTGGTTAATTTAATAAAAATAACTTTAAAATTTTAATAAAATAATTCACACTGTGATCAGAATGATTTTTTGATTTGATTTAGTTTACAAAAGCACTTTCCTATTAAAATTTTGAATATTTTTTAATTCAATTATTCATTAACATGAAAACCTCAATTTGGCTGCATTACTTTATTTTGGCAAAATAAAGTCATCATTTCAGAAAAGCGTGACAAAAATTCAGCTGAAATGTGTTAGATGAGATTGATTGGCTCATCTTCCTTATGTCTAAAGTGATATCGACTTTATCACTGCGGCGGAATTTGCATGTAACACGGTGCCTGGCATGCGGTTGATGACTTGGATAAGATCTTGTGTGCTGTTCATAGGAGTGTGGCTCTACACAGCTTTCATTGTCCGCCGATCGACGTATTTTCAATTTTTTTTTTTTTTTTTTATGGAAAGTTATCGGTTTTTTTAAAGTAAATTAATTAGCTTTTTCGCTGCGTCGGTAATTTTCAGTGCAGGTCGTAAATTGAGAATTTTGCATTGACGCTTCTCGCCTTTTAATTTATTATTACTGCCCGAATTTTATCGCTCGAATTAAGCGCCTGTATTTCCTCTTTTGGGAAAATCGAACTGAACTCCTCTCGCTTTCTTTCTTTCTTTGCCGCTCGTGACGAGGGAGTTATTGTCTCCTGCAAATTTTACAGCCTCGGCGCTCGCTCGTAAAAGAACCCCTTCGCTTGTTTATTATTGCGTCGTTTCGCCAGCAAGAGTGCGCCGTCCCGATTTACGCCCCCAACTCTAATTTCAAATGAAATGTACTTTTGGTAAGATCTTTTGTCATCCCAGAATTTTGATTTTTTTTTCAAAAGAAATAAATTAGCCTGCACAAAATAAAAAGATGCGCGTCGGCTCAAGTTGCCTGGTTGGGATTTATTTATTTATTTTCTTGGTCAGTTTTAGCACTTTCGGAACAAGAGACCGGATTTCTTGTTCCTCTTGCACACTCTCAACCCGCCGGAATTCAAGTGTGTGAGTGTGCGATTTATTGATCGGAGCTGGCGGGTTGAATGTGTCGGCGGCGGCACTCAAAGAAAAATCAGCAGCCACTCTCGGCACCGCGCTTCAATTCTTAATGAGAGAACACGCGCGCATTGATTCGCTCAGCGGGCCCAAAGAGTTTCGCGTTGGGCAAAGTCCCAGCAGAGTAGATTTCCTAGCCATACCAGGCAAGCCTTTCCAACAATTTCAACTACTCTTTACAACATAAATTCGTTTCTCACAAAATCAGAGCTGGCTAATTTCATGTTATAATCAGCGCATCATTTGGATAATTATATGATTTTGTTTCAAATATGAGACATAACATAAAATTTTAACTGTGCCTTTTGTCTACAGTAAAACTAAAAGGTTATAATAATAAATTTGCAAAAATTTAGTTCACAAATGTCTTAAAAACATTTGATTCAAGCAATTGACATTAACAAAGATGTTAAATTTTCATAGAAATTATTTTCATTAAATTTGTTGTAAAACTTTTCTCAAGATGCATCTTATCTATTTCTTGCTTATTTTGTTCAAGAAGAATATTAAATGTTGAAAAAACAATATTACTTAAAAATAAATTCCTCCGTAAAATTTTTGCCCTCCTGATGCAATTTCTGGCTTTCTTTAAATTTCTTATATAATGTTGCGGTTAAACAAATCTCTGATCAAAACTATAGTTCTTAAGTTACTTTTTTTAAGCATTTCCATAGGAGGATTAGCATCTTGTTAGTTTGATAACCGCCGGCAAAGTGCTTCTAAGCAAAAATTGGCGCTCGCTGAGAATTCCGCAAAAGTTTTCTTTGAGCTCACGTTGAGGGCAAACAAGCTGGCTGCGAATTTATGAAGCTTCTCTCTCTCGTTACCCCGCGCTGGCTGCCATGTCAAATAATAAATCGTGCCCCCATACAAAAGCTTCCCTTGAATTGAATGCTGGAGCTAAAAGCCAACAAAGACCTTCAGCAAAGAATCGAGCGCTTGCCCCAAATCGGCCCGAGATTTCCGCATTCAAAGCCGATTTGCATACATGGGGTGTGAGAATTCCAAAAGCGAAATGCTGAAATATCTACTTGACCTTTTCATATTTGTTTCGAATTTTAAACAAATATAATTATTAAAATTACGAAGAAAAAAATTACAAAATTTGAAAATTTCAAAGCGGTATGTTTGAATAATATTTTGGTGCAAAATTTTAACTTGAAGAAAGTAGTAAAAGTTTGTAGGTCGTCGCACCAGTTGATCGTGAAGGCGAAAGGGCCAATTGGAATCCTTTCTTTCGCCGAGACACTGCTGGCGGAGGCAATGAGTGACGGGGCGCCGATCTCATTGTGCCATTGTCAGTTCGCCTGGTACCACATTATTGCCTATACTCGTTTCTCGTTCAGCAGCACTCTTTGAGTTTGCGGCGCGCGTGCCCCTGACCGGTCTCTCCGTCTCTTCCTTCCATTTTCCGGGACTTGGTCATATTAAGAAAAAATTTCTTATATAATTTACGGGACCGTCAGATTGAACGTTGCGAGATCGTTCCTTTGAAGCCTTGGTCGCCTCTAAAAGTAATATCGTGATAAATTTTGGAAAGAATTCCGATTGGAATTCCATGACTCAAATTTAATAGCATCCAAGTGGAATTTCCCAAGCCGTAGAAGATTTAAATTCTAAAAGCAAAACGACATTAATTTGCAGTTTTTAATCAACGTTGATCGACGGACAGAGCTAATTAAGCTCTTTGACCAGTTAACAAATGGCCAGTTGGGTAGAATGGTCACGGCTCATTAGCGGCAAATTAAACAGATATATGCACTCCACCAGTTATTCCCTCAGGCGCACGGTAACATGATGTTCAAAGAGACGACGACAATATCAATTTCGAGAACATGGAAAAGTGGTAATGATTGAAATTTTAAAAATAATATTCAAAGTAAAATAATGCTAAAATATATTATTTACTGTTCAGTAAATTCCTATCTATCTATCCAATGAATCCAAATTATTTTAATTAGAAACACTCTAAATCTTTAAATATAAATATTTTCTTTTGATTATTTTCTTTATTATTATTGTTGGCTATTTTTTATTTTTCCCATTTTTGAAAATAAATTTTTTACTTTCAATTTTTGAAAATTATTTATTTAAAACAAGATAATTATTTGAAAAACAAGAATTTTGCTAAACTTCCGAGATCAAAAATACCTCATCCGCCGCAGTGTGCCCCTTGTATTTTTATTTTAATTTATTGAAGTGAAATGATGTAAGCGGTAAGAATTTGTGTTACCCGTGTTACCAAACTATATTGCTGACAGCGCTGTGTTTTGCAAATTTGGTTGTGGCAATATTTGCGTTCGACCCAAGATTCACTTTGCTGTTTGTCAAACGCAAAGTCCCTCTGAAACAGAACAACAAAGTCCAAGTTCTAACTCTAGTTGTATAAAATCAAAGCAAGGTTCTCTTCACTTCAATTAATCACGCACCGTCCAAGCCTCCGAATAGATTAAATTTGTGCCGAATGATCAAAATGCAACTTTTTTAGATATAAATAAGCTGATAAAATTGACTCTCGTCGTTCGTGCGTGTTGGAAAAAGCGTTGCGGGAAATTAGACATTCCCATCAGACGCGGCGCTGCGCCAAATTTATCTTCGTCAGCACCACTATTCGCCACTCTCCCTTTTGTCGCACAAGTTAAAGGGGATGCTTAACATTCAACAGTTAGTAAGAATTCCGTAGACAAATATACGCCATTAATATATAGAGAAAATTGATTAAATTTTATGGGGAGGAAATTGCATTAAAATAGCCAACTTTAATTTTCCCTAGTCGGGGTACTTGTGAAGTGGCGGAGAACGCGCGAGAGCCAATTAATATGAGAGCAAACAATTCAACTTGCTCTCGTCTAGCGTGGAGTGGAAGTTGCAAAAAATGAAGAAGAGCACACCGCGTGCTTGAGAACGGAGAGCTTGTTAGTTGGTGCAATTTATTTATTCGTGTGTCGCATTTGCCTAATTAAATGCGAAGTGGAGCCTCATTAAAGAGGACGCAAATGATTTCTCTGCGCTCTATATTATTATTTTGCAGGCTGAAAAATCCTCAAGAGACGCCAAGCTTTTTCATTTTTCCCTCGCCTGAACAGCAGTGCAGTAATTGGGCGGGACGTGACTCAATTAGCCATTTTGCAGCCGGAGGAAATTCGCTTAATTTTTCCTTCTGCAAAACGTGTCTTTTACTCTCGTTCGATCGCTCTCGTGTTGGACCAGTTGACGCCGGTGCACTGAACTCACAGGCTACAAGTTATAAATTGCCTTCATGGAATCGCGGCTAGACAAGGTCGTCTTTTTGCTCTAGCCTGGTTTCAAAGTTTGTTGCGAGCTTAAAAGTTCAAAGGCATGCTAAACCGAACCGGATTTGTACAATAATCCTTTTCTCCGTGTGCTATTTTATCTTTTATAAAATAATAATAATGACGTTTTTCTAATGTTTTTGTTGTTGAAATTGTTTCAGTGGAAGCAACGCTGGGGCGTCGTGACCAAGCTGTCTCCTGCTGCAGGTGAGTCTTGATATTATTTTTCCAAGTAGTATTTAGCAAAGGGCATATCAACTGAATGCGCTTCCTTTCGCGGAAAAGCTAGTCACCCCGATTCAATTTTCCCCGCGTGACTTGCAGTGGCAGCGTCGTCGTAAATCACTCGGGGTCGCGTGCCGAAAGGTGCTCGAGGAAAGTTGTAATTTTAATCGCCGAGGACGTAACGCGCTCGCAGCGTCAAATTAGAATAATGTGGGCATAATATGTGCAGGTCGACACGAGTTTCGCGGCTTAATTTATGACCATCGCACCGTGCCCCTCTTGCACGACCAATTTCGGTTTTTTTCAAGAATGCGGATTTATTTCAACTTTAAAAAAGAGGCAATTACTGATATGAAAGCAGATTATTGTAATCATATTTCAGTCTATGTGACAAATTTTTAATCTTTCACCAGACAAATTAAAAATTACAAAAAAAAAAAAAAATTAATCATAACTGACGGAATAAAATAGTGATTAACGATCATGTTAACCTAATCAGGTTGGTGTTTGCTCCAAATTGAGATAAAAGGCCCACTTTGCATAAATTTGAATTAGTGTGGTACATCATCAGCTCAGATAACTCGCGTGTATCAAAACGTTTTGTATCTCGAATTCAATGCAGAACGCGAATTCAGTGCGGCACATCATTGATTGTGAGTGCGGAATTGATATAAACGTGCTCCATCACTCTTGTCTGCTCTTTCGCCTCGGTGCCTTTGCTAATAAGCACTTTTTCCACTCGACTTGCGCTCCAACGCGAACAACGCATGAGCTCATTATGCGTGCGAAACGAGCCAAAATGTTCGCGGTTGACAAGAACTTCTGCGACGAATGAACATTTATTTAGCAGTTGGAATTTTTGTTAAAGGTTTGATCTTGAATTTTAAAACCTCTGATGTTTTCGTGGACCGTTGTAGTTTTTAGGGATGTTGTCGGGGGATGGAGGGTCACGCGGCCATTAAAGGCGGCCATCGTTCCCAATCAGGCCCTTTGGCGCGCACGGCAAAACGAGCCCTGTCATTTGTTCCACTTTGTGCGCCATTATTAAAATCATGCAGGCTCCATTAAGGCCTTTTTATCCCGCTGTCACCGCCGCCAAAAGCATATTTACGTTTATATGTACATCCAGCACAACCATGCTTGTGCGAGAGTGAATAATTTATATATTTTATATCGCGGCTCCCTCCGAGCTCCCACTCGTCCGCCTCAAATTCTTGCGCGGCTTTACTTAATTAAATTTGCTCATCGCTTTCAATATTTACGCGCCCTGGACTGAAATGATCCTGTCACCATCCATCATCTCATCGCAAAGAATTTAATTTCATATAATTTTCTTTTTTTTTCCAATACAAATACCCTTTATGTGTTTGTTGCCAACTATATCGCTTGAAAAATAACGTAAAAGGTGTTAAAAGTTTTCCTCGTTGGGCTAACATGGGCAGTGCAGGGGTGGACAAATTGCGCTCGGGACAGTTTTATACATTGGCCGCGGCAGTTTGCAGCCAGAGAGGAGACACGAGCCAACGGCCATTTGTTTCGGGAACGAGGCACGGAGCTGAAAAATCGGCCGATTTACAGTTGTAGCGAAGTAAATTACCGAAACACTGCCGGCCGTAAATTGCTCTCGGCCTTGTTCCTCCTCGGTTCCTGCTGCAACAACACACCACTCCGGAGGGCGCGATATTTCAGTCTGGCTATACTTTGGCTTCTCGGTCTCTCTGTTTATTGTTATGGCCAGTGCTGCTAATTCTGAGGCGGCCTGGACAAATTTTATGTTATTGGCCGCCCAGCCAACTCCGTGATTTGATTTTTCGGGGGTTGAAATCTCACGCAGGCTCAGATTAAAAGTTTTGGTTTGAATTTTCATTTCCGGTTGCTAATGACTTTGGTTCTCAAGAGAGGATTTTGAAACAAATATCCTCTTCTCCGAGCATCAGACAAGGAACGCGGAGCATTTTATCGGGAAAGTTTTGAGCAGGAAATGAAAAGCATGGCTCTGCAAAAATCCATCGAGTGGGGATAAATAAATAAGGTCCCCCGCCGGCTCATCATCATCTCATTTCGAGAGAGAAAAAAATGCGGCATCAGCATCTAGAGGGCGGATTGTTGCAGGTATATTTATTTCCCCTCGGCAATAAAGGCCGGCGGCTGCTGTTAGCCATAACGTCTCCATCTCTCTCTGTTAGCCCCCGGCAAAAAGACACTCTTTACATGCGCCGCCGGTCGATAAGTCGCCCGTTTATTCCACCCGCACGTGAACACACGTTCACTTTATTATCATCGCGCACACTTGCCCCGCCGATGTAGCGGCCAAGCAAGAAAACACGTGCGTCCGATAAACAGATAAAAAAAATGCCCCTTCGCCTAAGCTCCGGCAGGAATAACCGAGTTTCCTATTTTATTTTATTTTTTTTCGTATATAAAATTTATCACAGAGTTCTTTCCGATTTTGGCCCAAAACCCAGAGAGCTCTCGAGCCTCGGAGCGAAATTTTAACTCAGCTGGACTCCTTTTGGCACGCCATTAACAAAAAGGGAAAGCGTCGTTGCTTCGGATTTCGCCGCGCGGCATGCAAAGTGCCGAAAATCCGCGACAAGTTTGTGGTTTTAGCATGGGTCCTTCTTTTTTATGCTCTTTTAGTCGGAGCGTGCGTTTCCGCGACTAAAAACGCGCGCTTCCTTTTTTCCGCTCAGCCAGAGTGAATAATTCTGCGCTGAAGAATTTGAAAAAAAAAAAATGAAGCCGGCAGTCGTCATTATCTCGCGCGAGAAAAGGAGGTCACATTTGGAATTAGTGCAGGGCGGTGGAAATGTCTGCCACTCACTCGCTCAAATTTCCATATCTCTGAGAGAATATTTTTGCCAAAATTAACGCTCTTCTCTCGAGTGGAAAGATGCTGTAGGCTTTTCCTGTGCAGAAATTAGAGGCAGGGCAGATGAGACTTGGTATTTCTTTTATAATTTTTTTTCTCCCGGAGTTGCGTGTGCTGCGAGGTATGTGTGTGTGTTTGGTGCGAGTCGACAACAGGTCCGCTTGTTTCGTGTCAACGCCGCCCTCGTAAATCTCCTTAAAGGGTTGCGCGCGAAAAAAGAGGCAACCCTTTCCGTCCGGTCTGTTTCCAGAGAAAGGAAAAAATAAAAATGAGCGTGTAAATTCGTCCCCAAGCTGCGCTAAGCCGACTTTTTGTTTACCTTTGGTGCTTTTTATATGCTTAACCCTTTTCCATGTCATATTTTGCACAGGAAAGTAAAGCAGAAATCGCTTAAAAATAGTTTAAAATAATAGTAGCGCGCTTTTACTTTGAAGAAAGTGTTTATTGAGTTCAAAATTAGAGCTTTTAATTTGGAAAAATATCTTTAATAAAGCCAAATTGAAACTAATAAGTATTTAACTGCGACAAAGTGAGGAAATTCTCAAATCAGTGGAACCGAATATGACCTTGCCGTTGGCCTCCGAGTACTGTTTCACAGTGAATGGCAGTCGTAGAAGTTTACTTGCACCTTTAGTTTCCCATTTGCTGCGCTAATCGGCATCAGCCGATCTTTATGCGTCTGCGACATGCGATATGCTAATTAACTTCTGCCTCCGCCTCTTCACGTCCTAATCGAAGCTGGAAAAAGTTTCGTTTCTTCTGCGGCGGTTCAGCCGAGGGCGAAAAACTTTTCCATCTCGGGGTGAGACCGCGGCAGTGCCAGTTTGGAGGAAAGAAAGTACACTCTATCAAAAAGCGGAGGCCAATTACTTTCCAACTGGTTTTAGCGTGGCCCCGCGCGTATGTGAATCGACGTGCGTGCCTCCAGCTCTCTTTCATGTAATACTCGACGCTTGTTTGTTTGCCGATCGCTGTTAGTTGTTATTGGTGTTTGGTTCCGTGAGCCGGAAGACGAATGACGTCGAAAATGACAGATAGATAGCGAGAGTAATTTAGTGGGAGTTGTCATGAAATACCTGTGCCGTAAATCAACCTAAATTACCCAAATTACAGCAACCTGGAAAATAATAAATGCAAGAAAGGAAATAATCAATAATATAATTTCAGATAATACTTGTTTTTATTATACATTATAAAAAATAAATATTTTAATTAATTTGTTGGTTCCCCTTGAATTAAAAATAATAAGAATCATAATATGATGAACTATTTTTTTTTTAATAAATGTTATATATTATGCATTTTTAAATATAAATGCACCCTTGGCATTATTTTGGTGGCCTTGCAAGAGGTAAGAAATTCTTATTTTGCGTGCTTGTGTGCAATAAACTTCTTCTTCCGGTGCATGAGGGTTGGAATTTATCGGAATCGAAGTCGAGTGTCGTGAATAATTTCCACCGTAGAGGGAGGAAAAGAAAGGAGTCTATTTTGGCATACAGAGTGTATTTTGCGCGGAATTGCTTTCCGTGCTGCAGCAATATGGGAAATTGCTCTTTTCACGCTTTCTTGCCTCTGCTGGTCGTCGGCGCCGGGGCGCGAGTCGATTTTAATAAAAAGGGAGCATACGGAGAAAAAGAAAAAGCTACGACGTCGTTACACTTGGAAAGGTGAGAGAAATCAATATCAAAAGAGCAGCAGTAACGAGATGAGACAAAATAACACTAGGAGGAGAGCTTCAGATTTTTCTCTTCGATCGCACAATGGACCAAATCTTTCCTTTCTCTCGCCAGATCCATTTTGTTTCGTCGCCCCGTTATTGTGATTTTTCTGTTTTCGTTCGGCAGTTTGCGTGAAAGCTTTGGTCGGGTGCGAGAGCTGTCACTGAGCAGTGCCAGATAACAAAACAAAAGGATTTGCTCCTCTCTCTCTCTCTCTCTTCTTTCTCTCTTTCTCCATCGTCGCCGTCATAATAATAAGAGTGAGAGACGCACGAGCCTACTCTCAAAGTGCTTTATTTTTTCAACTCTCCTCGCGCGCCGAGCCGTATTAACTCTCTCTTTCGCGCGCGCGAAACCAACTCTCTGTGGAGCACCAAATAAAAATAAACAGT